TAGTTGAAAACCGAACAGAAAGCTTCTGAACTGATCCCACAATTTCTCCTTCCCCACCAGGAGACCCTCTTTGCAATGCTGGTGGAAATCACCGAACGGGCCATGGCGCACACCGGCTCCAGCGAGGCCTTAATTGTGGGCGGCGTTGGCTGTAGGTGATTCGGATGGATGCTGAGGAGAACTAATGTCCCTGGAGGCTAGATGGGGAAGTTGAGAAATACATGGTCACTCAATTTATAACCATTTGTTTAAGGACCATTAGAAGTTACAACGGCACTGAAGAAGGTGATTTATGCCCATTTTTCACATGGCCGTTGAAACATGGTCACATGATCAACATTCGGATGCTTGGCAACTGGCTCATATCTATGACGGTTGCAGTGCCCACAAGATTAAAATAGTCAAGATGGAGAAAACTTATGAAGGATGGTTGCAGGAATTGGGTATGTCTAGTCTAGTGAAAAGAAGGACTAGGGGTGACATGATAGCAGCTCGCCAATATTTGAGGGCCTGTCACAAAGAAGAAGGGGTCCACCTATTCTCCAAAGCAGGGGTCTCCAATACCTTGGCAACTTTATGACTTGTGGACTTCAACTCCCAGAATTCTTCAGCCAGCATGCACTGGCTGAGGAATTCTGGGAGTTAAAGTCCACAGGTCGTAAAATTGCCAAGGTTGGAGACCCCTGCTCCAAAGCATCTGAAGGCAGGACAGAACAGAATAACAGAGTTGGAAGGGACCTTGTAGGTCATCTAGTCCAACCCCCTGCCCAAGCAGGAGACCCTACACCATTTCTGACAGATGGCAGTCTAGTCTCTTCTTGAAAGCTTCTAGGGATGAAGCTCGCACAACTTCTGAAGGACATGAAGCAACAGATATTAAAATAAGTCAAGATGGAGAAACGTTGGTCTACTAGATGCGGTGCTTATTGCCTTTCAACTGGGTTTTATTTTTTTCAATCATAGAGACTGCTCCTTTCTTTGCAGGTAACGAGCGACTTCAAGAGATGATGGGGATCATGTGCAGAGAGAGAGGGGCTCACCTCTTTGCAACCGATGAAAGGTGAGAAATCTCCCACCCTCCATCTTCTTCCAAATATTCTCCTAGACTTAGCTTCCAGGCATCTGTTAGAGCCCGGGAGTCTCTAACTTGCCACCTCATGTTGCAGTCATGTGATATATCATGGTGTTTTTTCCCTTCGCGGAGCTGGGGGTTGGTTGTGGCCTTCACGGGATTCACGGGCCCTGAGTTTTCACACCCTTAGGTTAGAGGCTGGGTGTCACCATTTGCTTCGGAGACTAAATGGTATTTATTACAAGCAAAAGCAGCTAGACAACTTTATTAGCAGCAAACACACCTAGACAAATCTCTGTAAGACCACACTTAGAATACTGCCTCCAGTTTTGGCCACCCTATTATAAAAAAGATATTGAGACTCTGGAAAGAGTGCAGAAAAGAGCAACAAAGATGGTTAGGGGACTGGAGCCTAAAACATACGAAGAACGGTTGCAGGAATTGGGTATGTCTAGTTTAATGAGAAGAAGGAATAGGTGTGACATGATAGTGGTATTCCGATATTTGAGGGGCTGCCACAAAAAAGAGGGAATCAATCTATCTTTTCAAAGCACCAAAAGGCAAAACAAGGAGAGATGCAGCCTAGAACTAAAGAGAAATTTCTTGACAGTTAAAACAATAAAGCCAGTGGAACAGCTTGCCTTCAGAAGTTGTGGATGCTTCATCACTGGAGGCTTTTAAGAAGAGACTGGACAGCCATTTTCTGGAATGGTACACGGTCTCCTGCTTGAGAATGGGGTTGGGCAGGAAGACCTCCAATGTCCCTTTCCATTATGTTATAACTTGCAGGATATAAGCAGCCTAACAAAACCAGGGTTGCTTCAATTCAGTTATTTGCCCTAGTCCAGTGATGGCTAACCTTTTTGCCGTCACATGCCAAAAGCGGGGGGAGCGTGGTGGGTCTTGGATGTGTGTGCCCACATCCATAATTCAATGTGCTCCGCCCTCCCGCGCATGCGCAAGTGACCCCCCCACACACTTCCCCCTGCTTTTGGCATGTGATGGCCCTGTAAGCCTGGTTGGCCCGTTTTCCCCCCTCCCCAGGCTCCAGAGGCTTTCTAGGAGCCTGGGGAGGGCAAAAATAGCTTTCCCCATCCTCCTGGAGGCCTTCCGGAGGCCAGAAACAGCCAGTTTCCTGACTTTCGGTGGGACCGGAAGGCGTGAAAATCAGTTGGCTGGTGTGCGCATGTGTGTTGGAGCTGAGCTAGGGCAACACTCGCGTGCCCACCAATATGGCTATGCGTGCCACCTGTGGCACCCGTGCCATAGTTTCACCATCACGGCCCTAGTCTCTCCTAGACTCAACTAAGCTGCAAGTAGCAAATTTGGGAAGCGATACAATCACACCATGGTGTTGTGGAGCTTCCTTGAGTTTATAGCCTTAGCAAGAGAACAAAAGAGAGCCTGCACTCAGAAAGGCTGTCCTTTTTAAAATATTCTCCGATTCCTCACGACCGTTTTGTACCCAGGTTCTGCATTGACAATGGTGCCATGATCGCACAAGCTGGTTGGGAAATGTTTCGGTCTGGCCAAATCACAACACTTGAAGATTCATGGATAACGCAAAGGTGATTGTCCTTGTTTGGAATACAGGGGGAAAGAATTGTGAACTTAAGGTGAAATGGGACACATAAGTACTGAGGCATTTAATTTATTTAGTTCCTTGTGAAATCAGAAACCTTTGAAGCTATGGCTTTACTCGGTCTTTGTAACGCCATCTTTTTAAAACTTCCTGCCATTGTGCACCTCTAAATACAGGTGGTCCTTGAGTTACGGCCAACCATTGAACCCAGAATTTATGTTGCTAAGTGAGAAGTTTGTTCAGCAAGTTTTACAGACTTTCCTTGCCACATCTGTTAAGTGAGTCACTTCAGTTGTTGAATTAGTAATATAGTTGTTAAGTGAATCCTGCTTCCCCATTGACTTCGCTTGTCAGAGGTCGCAAAACAGGATCACATAACCCAGGGACTTTGCAACCGTCATAAACATGAACCAGCTTTACAATGTAAATCATGTGACTATGTAGGGATGCTGCAATGGTCATAAGTGTGAAAAAATTGCCATTTTTTTTTCAGTGCCATAACTTCGAACATTTATTAAATGAACTATTATAAGTGGAGGACTACCTGTATAGATCCAAAAAATGCAATGACTCTATAAACAAATAGCTCCCTACATTTTTGCAATTAAGAGCTTGGGAGCCCAGATTTGGTGGCAAATCAACCTGATTATTGGTGCAGTTTTGTAACTTTTCCCATCCCCTCCATTTTTAAAGGCCTGTTAAAGCTACATTTGATGTCTGTTTACTCTGAGGTAAATTGCATCCTCAGAGGAATGGATACCCACTGAAATCCAATTAGTTGTGTTCTTTCATTCTTTCCAGGTATCGTACAGATGAAGTGGAGGTAACGTGGCGAGACTAAAGGTTTCTCTTTGCCAGAAAATCTTCCCTGGTTTGGAAGCCATGAAGTGGAAGCAACTGGAAGGCTCAAGAGATAAGCATTTAAAAAAAAAAACAGACACACAATCACTTTTTTGGCCTAAAATAAATGATTTGATTTTCTAGGAAGGACTCTACAGTGTGTCTGTACTGGGTCTATTGGGATGAAAAGTGGCTTTTGAGAAAAAGGGGCACTTTTGAGCAACACAACACATCCATGAGGTGAGACAGGTCACTAGTTTTGCTTGTGGGTCTTCATATTTGCTGGTTTCAATTTTTTTTTTCTGCGAAAACCACCTTGTCTTCCTTTTGCTGTGTGGATAGAACCTTCCATCTCAGCCATAATTGTATGGGTCATGAGCTCAACAGAGTGGTGACGCTGAAATATTTGGGTTTCTTTTAATTTATCAGGGAGCAAAGGGTTAAGCGGCAAAGTGGGTGCCCCTTTTTAGCAAGATTTCAGTCATTTTTAAGGGGTACAGTGGATGCCGAAGCAGCTGAAAAGCTCTGTCCCTAGGGCCCCTCAAAATGAATTCCCAAATGATCTGAAACTCGGACCCGTTTGGGAATCTGCAAATGAGCTACATGCTGCCCTTAAAATAGGGGTTGGGTAACTATGGTCCTTTACGACCTGTGGACTTCAACTCCCAGAATTCCTGAGCCAGCATGGCCGATTTAATGTCCATAGAGATTTTCAGTCATCCAGGTCATGGTTGTCCCAAAGGTGCTTTTTCAAAAGGCAAATAGACTTTCTGGTTTTTCTTTTGAAGATGTTTCGCTTCCATCCAAGAAGCTACTTCAGTTTTGACTGGATGGTGGGAAATGGAAGGATTTATACTCCTTTGCAATACAAATGACCAGCTGTCTCCAAGGAGTATAAATGCTTCCATTCTCCATCATCCAGTCAGAGTTGAAGAAGCTTCTTGGATGAGAAGCAGGGGTGAAATCCAGCAGGTTCTGACAGGTTCTGGAGAACTGGTAGCGGAAATTTTGAATAGTTCGGATAACCAGCAAATACCACCTCTGCTGGCCCCAGAGTAGGGTGGGAATGGAGATTTTGCAATATCCTTCCCCCAGGAGTAGGATGGGAATGAGGCTTTTGCAGTATCCTTCCCCTGCCATGCCCACAAAGCCACGCCACGCCCACAAAGCCACGCCCACAGAACAGGTAGTAAAAAAATTAGGATTTCACCACTGATGAGAAGCGAAACACCTTCAAAAGAAAACTCAGAAAGTCCTCTTGCCACTTGAAAAAGCACCTTTGGGACATGGGTGACTTAGAAATGCTGGTAACTGAAGCCCATAGGTTACAAAGGGGCCATAGTTGTCCACCTCTGCCTTAAAGGCTTAACTCTGCCTTCTTGCCTTTGTCACTCGAGAGTTGCACCCGCTAAAGGTTTGCATCATGTTGAGCTTTGCTAGAAAAGGAACCCCAAAAGCAGAGGAGGAAGTACGACGCTACGAAGAACAAGGTAGGAGACACACCAGGGTTATTAAATAACAATATTCAAAAAAATATCACTATTTACAGAGTACGGAGACACAACACATTCAGAATCGGTCCTCTGCGTTCAAACTCAACAAGCAGGGATTTTTTTAAAAAAAAAAAGTCGGCAAAATCCCGTCGTTGTGCGTGGATGGTCCCGGCCTCCTGGTGATGCTGACACACTCAATGGCAATGCCCATCTGCTTTCCATTTGGGGGAGGGGGACTGTCAGACTTTGGAGTCTTCTGCCCCCCCTTGTAGCTGGGCTGGCATAACAGGCAGCCTCTTATAGCCTGTTTGCGCAAGGCTTCTTTGGGATCCTGCTACCCCCTATTGGCAGTAGAGGGTGAGTGCATCCTCTTGATTGCCGCGGATGAAGACAATTGGTGGATATAAGTCCTTGCAGACTGTCTCAAGCCAGGCCATGTAGAGGGAGCTGGGACAGGCTCCTTTCCGTACCACCGGAAGGCTTCTAGAGAATTAAGGAAAGGCAGAGAAGAAGTTAGGGATCTGCTTGTAAGGAACAGAGAGGCCCCACATTACAAAATCTGTGTGTACCCTACATCTAGGATGGGCATTGTGTACAGTAGACGTGACCTTCCTGAAAAAGACAGGGCAGACAATTTCTGCCATTACCTGATTAACTTGGCCTCCTGCATTAAATCAGCGTTTGAACAAGCTCTGATATAAGGCCATTTAGCAAGCAACAATCTCACAACAAAAATTATAACTTAGAAAGACCTTTCCATGTACTAAGGTTGGACACAGCATCTTCTAAGACTCCTCATTTGTATGGGTCATCGTTAGATCTTTGCACAACAACACAATACATAGCAATACTTTATCCCCGCTCAGAGAAAAAGCCACTAATTCAGACCATTAATTGCTGAAGATTTATTAACCTGAGGATCCACTAATATCTTTAAATCAATTGCCTTTTTCATTTGGCAGGAAACCAGTCAAGGAGAACTGACGAGGTGGCTCAAGTGGCTAAGACACTGAGCTTGTCGATCAGAAAGGTTGGCAGTTCGGCGGTTCGAATCCCTAATACAGGTCTCCTGTGTGAGCAGGTGGTTGGGCTAGATGACCTCCGAGGTCCCTTCCAACTCTGTTACTGTTAAACTTTGGGGTGGCCTGTAGACTATTTTCATTGTAACTACTGAATGCCAAGTGATTATTTGATTGCCTCGTCTTAGACTTAAATAGTATTTTATAAATTCTTTTGAGTGGGCTGGTTATTAATTATAGTTTCATTTTGGACTGCTTACTGTTTAACTATCTATAATGTTTGCTACTGATAGAAGCAACACTGGGAGTTTGGGCTGTGTTTGGTACAGCCTATTTTTTAAAAAATTAGTTTGGTGGATTTTGTTTTCCTACAGTTAAAAAACAGCCATTTTTGTCTAGTGATTAAAGGATCAGGCTAAAAAGCTGGAGACCATGAGTTCTAGTCCTGCCTTAGGCATGAAAGTTGGCTGGGTGACCTTGGGCCAGTCACTCTCTCTCTCAGCCCAGCTTACCTCACAGGGATGTCGTTATGAGGAAAATAGGAGGAGGAAGATGCGTTGGATATATCCACTGCCTTTATTTATTTGTAAAAATAATTAAGGCGAGATGCAAAGAAATAAAAATAAAATATTTTGCTTATTTTCCCCAAACCTGCTGTCAATTTTTTTTGGGTGGGGAGGAGTGATTATTTATTTTTCTAGCAGATGAAGGTATATGTCCAGGAGGAATTGTTTAATAGGTATACAACTTTCTAAATTAAAATTAAAATGAATTTGGTCTAGTGGTTCAGATACCAGGCTAGAAACTAGAAGACGGCAAGTTCTAGTCCCACCTTAGCCATGAAAGTCAGCTGGCTGACCTTGGGCCAGTCCTTCCCATTCTCCCTCCCTCCCTCCCTCCCTCTCTCTCTCTCTCTCTCTCTCTGCCAAGCCACCTCACAAGATTGTTGTTGTGGGGAAAATAGGAGGAGAAAGGCGTATATTTGCTGCCTTCCACTCTGTTTCCGTGAAAATAAGACTCAACCGGAAAATAAGTCCTAGCATGATTTTTCAGGATGCTCGTAATATGAGCCCTACCCCCAAAATAAGCCCCAGTTATGATTGTCAGCTAGATGGATGCATTTAGTACCATATTTCCCCCAAAATAAGACCTAACCAGAAAATAAGCCCTAATGCGTCTTTTGGAGCAAAAATTAATCTAAGATATAATCTTATTTTTGGGGAAACAGGGTATTATTTATTATTTATAGAAATAATAAAAGTGGGATTAAAAATTTAAAAAGTTAATCAGGTCTGTTTTCATAGCTAGGCATGTAGTATATTTTTTCTTGCCTAAAGAATTTTAATTGTCTAGCAAAAAAAAAAAAAAATAGGACACTAAGATCCGAAACATCGTACTTTGGAACTATTAATGACACACAATGAGCTCTGGAGATTTCCTGTTCCCAAGCTTGCCGAGGGCGGCCACAGGGATTAAAAATATATCCTCAGAAAGCTGAATTTTCTGAGTCTTGAACTTTCCATCCAATATTCTTGTGTGTAAAACTGGAATGCAGGTGATCTTGTAGCTAAACGTATACATGCATCTCCTGCCTTTACCTCAGGAACTTATGCTAATGCAGCTTATATTCCTTCCTCAACTTTTCCTCCACAACAGCCCTGTAAGGTAGGACGAAAGTTAGGAACTGTCCCAAAGCCCCTCAGGATGCTTCTGGGTCTGAAGATAGATTAGAACATAAATCTCTTTGCTCCTAGACTAGTACCTTAACACTAAACCACGCTGGCACTCAAATCACACCACGTTCCCTCATGCGTACTTGTCAAATTAATAGGGATCAACAAGGCAAAGCTTTCATAACTGCTGTTTTGTGACCCATCCACTACCACAAACTTAATTCCCAAAGGAAGGGGTGCATCGTTGCCCCAGGTAAGAACGCTATAACCATTAGGAATACTGGCCGTTCTGAGAAAGAGGACGCAACTCACATGACGATGAGGGCTGCATTGCGGGAGTGATCTTGTAGAACCTCATGAAGACGCATGTGCTGTTCAGACTAGACAAATGACATCGGGGAGGATGGGAAAAAAAAAGTTTTTAGTCAGGTTTTGTTTTTGTTTTGCTTCTTCCCTTTTCTATCCCTTTAACCCTCTTAATCCCAGCTCGAGTGAAAGTGTTTAGCTGACCTTGGCTGATCTTGGGGGAGAAAAAAGAGATTTGTTAACATGTGGATTGGAGGCCACAAGGAGATCACAGAGACAGAAATTAAAGGGGGAAGAGGAAATAACCATCCTGAGGGGGGGAGGGGAACATCTAGGAAATCACCAGGAACTGAGGCTCACTTAAGGGATCTTTTATTTCTGTTGCTTCTCATTGATTCTGGCAGGATGGTGGGGCTATGGAAGGATTAGTTCTGACAGGATGGTGAGTGAGGGGAGGTAGTGGAAGGATCATATTTATTTGCAGTCATCTGATCATTAGTGCTCTCCCTGAGAGCTCTTGGGACTACTTGGGGGGTTTATCTGTGCCCTAGGGGTCACCTGAGTGCAAATGGAGGTGGAATTTCCTTGGAATAGTTTTAAGGGCTGTGTTGTAGACAGGAGACCGGAAGTTTGCTATCCTTCCCCCTCTATTGAGAGAGGGCTGCTCAATGTTAACATAAATGACCTCTTTTTCCCCTCTTTCAAACTAATGGTCCTTTCGATCTAAAATGTAGACTTTTTCTTCCTCAGGGGAAAAAACAAACAAACCTGTCTTTTGAAAAAGCACCTTTGGGACAACTATGACCTGGATCAGGGGTCTCCAACCTTGGCAACTTTTAAGACTTGTGGACTTCAAGCTTTGTTGGCTGAGGAATTCTGGGAGTTGAAGTCCACAAGTCTTAAAGTTGCCAAGGTTGGAAACCCCTGACCTGGATGAGTGAGACTCTCCACAGACATTTGCTGAGAAGCGAGTTTATAATTAAGAAGACCCACAAAAAACAGCCAGCAGTGAATTCTCCCGGTTTCTCAGCTTCCCAGGGGAAACTTAAAAATGGTACATAAAATTGTCAACCTTCCCCCCATTGCTAAACTCAATGGGTACCTGCTGGATCCATCTTTATAAAAGTAAAAGTAAGTTATTAATAATGGCAGCCATTTTTTTATTCTGTCTTGCAAAACTTTTAGGTTACAAATAAAAGAATAATAGAGCTGGAAAGGGCCTTATAGGACTTTTAGTCCTACCTTCTGCTCAAACAGGGGATCTATACAATTCCAAATAGCTTTCCAATCTCTTCTTAAAATCCTCCCATGATAGAGCACCCACAACTTCTGGAGAAAAGCATCTCATCAGAATGATAAAATGACTTCCTGACTTGGAGTGCGTATGAATATATGTGTGTGTTTGAGATCTGTTTGTTTCAAACTGATTTTTCCTGCGCGAGCCATTTTTTTTTTTGGTCTTCCCCTGGAAAAGTTCTATTGAAAACATATTGAACCGAATAAAAACATATTGGGGGAAAAAACCATTCAACTTTGCTATAGTTAGAAGAACTGTGCCCTTCTCCTGTGCTAGATGCCTTTCGCAGGTTTTATATGTCGTTATAAATATCTTGGAAAATAATCTTTTAATTTAGAAGCAACATTGAGAAAATCTGTCTTAATTAATCAGGGCACCTTTCTAAAATCAATCAACAAACTGTTAGAGATCATCCATTTTCACGTTCAGCAATGGTACTTTTGTTTTTTTTTAAAAAAAATCAATTGCATGATAGGCAGGATGAAAAAAAAGAACCTTTCCTTCTTTTAAAAATCTTCATTCAAATATTCTCTTTACTTGTCTCTTTGATCCTGGACATCCTCACCTTTTTCTTGTAGATTCTCAGGTCTTCACCGGTGATTTTCCATGGCATCTCCTTCTTCATTGCTTCTATGGTTTCGGCATCTTTTTGGCCCTCGTTCAGCCGATATGGAGCTATCAGGTCCTCGAATTCTTTGCAACTGTCATTGGGAAGGAAAGAAGAGAAGTTGTATGAAAAGCAAGGAAGGGAATAACAGAAAATTTGAATGACAGGAGCCTCGCTGTTTAGGGAACGGGGCAGTGGTGATATTCAGCCGGTTCTATCCGGTTCGAGCAAATGGCTGTGGGAGGCTCCGTCCACCCGCCTGGACATCATCATGTCCTGTTTTTACGAACTGGTAGCGAAGGTAAGTGAATACCATCCTTGAACAGGGGCATCAGACAACAAAGGACAATCATCACACATCCCTCAAGAAACGATACAGGTAGTCCTTGGCTTACGACCCCAATTGATCCCAAACTTTCCATTTCTAAACAAGATGGTTGTTAAGTGGGTTTTGCCCCATTTTATGCCCTTTCTTACCACAGTTGTTAAATGAAACATGCAGTTCAGTGGTGGGTTGCCCCCGGTTCGCACCGGTTCTATAGAACCAGCAGTAAAACCAGTGGGAGGCTCCGCCCACCGACCCCGATGTCATCAGAATGCTTCTGCGCATGTGCGGCCCCGTTGCGAACCGGTAGTAAAGGTAAGTAGAACCCACCCCTGATGCAGTTGCTATTAACATGGTTGTGAAGTGAATATTGCTTTCCCATTGATTTCGCTTGTCAGAAGGCCGCAAAAGAGTGATCACATGATCCGGGATACCGCAACCATCATAAATACATACCAGTTGCCAAGCAACCAAATTTTGATCACCTGATCCTGGGGATGCAGCAATGGAAGTAAGTGGAAAAACAGTCACAAGATACTTTTCCTGGTGCCATAACTTTTAACGGTCACTAAACAAATGGTTGTAAGTCAAGGACTAACTGTCATTGGCTTCAAACTCATGCCCGACTGCGCCCTTTTCGAAAGGAGAGATTTGTGAAGAGGTTACTAGATTTTAAACTTTTTTTTTTTACACTTTTAGCTTTTTCTCTTTCTTTTACACTAGTCCTTGACTTACAACCATTCGTTTAGTAACCATTCAAAGTTACAACAGCACTGAAAAAAGTGACGCACGGCCGTTTTCACATGACTGTTGCAGCATGGCCAGGTGATCAAGATTCAGACACTTGGCAACTGACTCACATTTATGACGGTCGCAATGTCCTGGGGTCATGGGATCCCCTTTTGAGACCACCTGACAAGAAAAATCAATGGGGAATCCCGATTCACTTAACAACCATGTTACTGACTTAACAACTGCAGTAATACACTTAACAACAGCGGCAGCTGTCATAAAATGGGGCAAAACTCAATTGTCTTGCTTAGCAACAGAAATTTTGAACTCAATTGTGGCCGTAAATTGAGGACTATCTGTATTGGTTTGAGACAAGGGATCTGGATTAGGAAGCCAAGGCTCAAGAACAATAATTGAGGACAAATCACAGGATATTTACCTGTTCTCCTCAGGTTTCCACATTATTTCAGGCAGCACCACAACCTCGCTGAAGCCCAGACGGAATTTGTCCAACAGAAACTGGATCCTGTGGAACAGAAAGTGTTAGACAAGAAAAATCTTTTAATCTCCTGGTTATATGGTTGTCAGGCCCGATGCTTTGCTTTGGATATCTACTCAAATTAGACATTTTAATGTTCTTTGGTGTTTTAATGGTTTTTATTGTTTTAAAATGGAATGGAATGGAATGGAATGGAGTGGAGTGGAGTGGAGTGGAGTGGAGTGGAGTGGAGTGGAGTGGAGTGGAGTGGAGTAGAGTAGAGTAGAGTAGAGTAGAGTAGAGTAGAGTAGAGTAGAGTAGAGTAGAGTAGAATAGAATCATGGAATGGAATGGAATGGAATGGAATGGAATGGAATGGAATGGAATGGAATAGAAAATATGGAGTGGAATGGAGTAGAGTAGAGTAGAGTAGAGTAGAGTAGAGTAGAGTAGAGTAGAGTAGAATCATGGAATGGAATGGAATGGAATGGAATGGAATGGAATGGAATGGAAGGGAATGGAATGGAATGGAATAGAAAATATGGAGTGGGATGGGATGGGATGGGATGGGATGGGATGGGATGGGATGGGATGGGATGGGATAGAATAGAATAGAATAGAATAGAATAGAACAGAACAGAACAGAACAGAATAGAATAGAATACACAAGGAATTTGTCTCTGCTGCATAAGATCTCAAGTATACATACAAAAGTGCAAACAACAGACTGAATAATTCCTCTGTAGAGCTGTAGTAGCAGCTATTGGGCAGTCTGAGCTTTCTGAATTGATGCAGGGAGAACATTCTTTGTTGTGCTGTTTTTGGAAGGGACCTTGGGGGTCTTCTAGTCCAACCCCCTGCTCAGGCAGGAAACCATATACCATTTCAGACAAATGATTGTCCAATCTTTTCTTTAAAAAACTTCCAATGTTGGAGCATTTGCAACTTCTGGAGGTGAGTTGTTACACTAATTAACTGTTCTAACTCTCAGAAAAGTTCTCCTTAGTTCTAAGTTGCTTCTCTCCTTGATTAGTTTCCACCCATTGCTTCTTGTCCTGCCCTCAGGTGCTTTGGAGAATAGCTTGACTCCCTCTTCTTTTTGACAACCCCTGAGATATTGGAACACTGCTATCATGTCTCCCCTTGTCCTTCTTTTCATTAAACTAGACATACCCAGTTCCAGCAACTGTTCTTTATATGTTTTCGCCTCCAGTACCCTAATAATCTTTGCTGCTCTTCTCTGCACTCTTTCTAGAGTCTCTACCTACCTTTCTACCTATCTACCTATCTACCTACCTTTCTACTTATCTACCTACCTACCTATCTGTCTGTCTGTCTGTCTGTCTACCTGTCTACCTACCTACCTGTCTACCTATCTACCTTTCTACCTACCTGTCTACCTACCTATCTTTCTACCTACCTACCTACAAATATAAATTATATAAATATATAAATATAAATATATAATAAAATAGCACTTAGCAATAGCACTTAGACTTATATACCGCTTCACAGTGCTTTTACAGCCCTCTCTAAGCGGTTTTCAGAGTTATCCTATTGCCCCCAACAATCTGCGTCCCCATTTTACCGACCTCGGAAGGATGGAAGGCTGAGTCAACCTTGAGCCTGTGAGAATCGAATTGCTGAACTGCTTGCAGTGAGCAGGCAGCAGAATTAGCCTGCATTATTGCATTCTAATCCTGCGCCACCATGGTTTAAATGGCTTTTAGGATTTTAATTGTAATTATATGTTTTTGAACTGTGAGCTGCCCAAAGGTGGGGTGGCTATAGAAATCAAATCAAATCAAATCAAATCAATCGATCAATAAAATACAGGTGCTACTTGGCATATCCATGACTGAAGAGGCCATAAACAAAAAGAATAGGACAAGCCTTTCAAAGCAATGTCAACACTTCACTGCAGACTTTGGGGACAATCTAAAGACAAAGTGTGAGTGCTATCTTTCAGGACAGAGTGTCTCCCTCGCATTTACGATCTCCCTGAGCAAACTCTGGTTAGCCGCCAAAGATACATCGGCAGCCCCTTCCTGGAACTGCTTAGCTTTGGATTTTAATCTCCCCATCCTCCCTGCCCTTTCTCCCTTACTCTTCTCTGTGTTCCTCGGCATTAGAGATCTGCCCACTGATGAAGACTCGGACTTTGCACTGGCTCCAGCGTTTCCGGCGAGTCAGAAGATAGGGGATGAGGAGGGTCAGCCCTGCAGAGCAAGGAGGGGGGAAAAAAAAGTCCAGAGACCAGCTACACAACATGGTGGCACAACCACATTGCCAGAAATAACATCCTGTCTTGAAAGCAGAGCCCTAGCTGTACTGGGAACGCAGTGGTGGGATTTAAATAATTTAACAACCTGTTCGGCCAGGGTCAGATTGGCTGTCGTGAGAGGGGTGGCCCATCCCCAACCTCCAGCTCCGCCACACATGTGGGAAAAAGCCTTCCGCAACAGCCAACTTGACCCTGGGTGAACTGGTTGTTAAATTCTTCCCCGCAGCCAGCTATCAAAGTGGATTCTGGGTGCTGCGCTGCAGTGGAGAAATGAGAAATAGAGTGGCCGACACAATAGAAGGAGGAAAGGGCCTTCTCCTTCCCTCGTGCCAACCATTCTGTTGCCCGTTTCTCCATTGCAGCGCAGAGCCCAGGATTCACTTTGATAGCGGGGTAGGGATAATTTAACAACCGGTTCGCTTGAACCAGTGTGAACCGGCTCAATCCAACCACTCCTGGGATACACCTGGTTAATTAGGAAGGGGTGCTTCTACATTTCTTCCTGTGACCATTAATATCTTGGGGGCACCTACACCTGTTGTCTAATTTTAGTTTCCTGCTTTCCCTCATCCCCCAAGGCCATTCACACATTCCATTACATCTGGAAATAACCTTTTTACATGGATGGAGGGTTTGTCCATGAGAACCAATGACGAGATGGAAGGAAAAGATTATTTCCTAAATGTGCTTTCTCACAATTGCAAAGGAACAGCCTGTGAATCCTAGATATATCATTTATATATATGTATATCATTTATATATATGTATATATAATAAACATTTTATATAATGATAAAGTGTTTATGTATGTATGTGTGTGTATACATACATACATACATACATATATATATGCACACACATATGTATGTATATATATGTGTGTGTGTATGTATACACACACACACACACACACACACAGACACACATACACACACAAAGTAGACCTCAACTTACAGTAGTTCATTTAGTGACCATTCAAAGTTAAAATGACACTGAAAAAAGTGACCATTTTTCACACTTATGACCCAAGGGTGGGTTCTACTTACTTTTACTACCGATTGACAACAGGGCCGCGTGCACTCGCTTCGCTTGCACATGGCACGCTCTTCTGCGCAACTGCAGAAGCTTCTGCACATGCGCAGAAGCATTTTGATAATGTCAGGCTCAGTGGGCGGAGCCTCCTGCCGGTTTTACTACCAGTTCTATAGAACCGGTGTGAACCAGGGGCAACCCATCACTGTTACGACCGTTGCAGCATCCTTATGGTCAGTTGATTTACATTCAGATGCTTGACAACTGCCTCACATTTATGATGGTTGCTATGTCCCGGAGTTGTCTGATCCCCTTTTGCGACCTTTTGTCAAGCAAAGTCCATGGGGAAGCCAGATTCACTTAACAACCGGGTTACTGATTTAACAATTGCAGTGATTCACTCAACAACTGTGGCAAAAAGATCGTAAAATGGGGCAAAACTCACTTAACAAATTTCTCACTTAGCAATATAAATTTTGGGCTCAATTGTGGTCGTAAGTTGAGGACTACTTGTACATACAGATTTATATACTGTATATGTGGGAGTATACATTTATATATAATTACAAAATATCTATATCTGCGCAAAGCTAGACACACAGGGATATGGATACAACATCCCCATGGTCACGTGATCAAAACTTTGATGCTTTGCAACTGGTTCATATTTATGACGATTGCAGGGATCATGTAATCAGCTTTTGAGACATTCAGATAAGCAAAGTCAATGGGGAAGCCAGATTTACTTAACAAGTGCAGTGATTCACTTAACAACTGTGGCAAGCAAGGTTGTTAAATGGGGCAAAATTCACTTAAACAAATGTCTCATTTAGTAACATAAATTCTGGGCTCAATTGTAGTAGTAAGTCAGGGATTACCTGTATTCATTCATCTAGAGAAGGTCTATCTGAGATAGTTGGCTTAACACCAACTTGATGACACATTAGCTATCATTTATGAAATTATATATAGCTAAATATTTTATACATTATACATCTATCACTGTTAATAATTTTTGTAATAAGAGGGCAATGAACGAGCCATAAAGAACCATGAAAAAAAACCCCTCTCTTTATGGCTTTCCCATCTGTATCTGAACTTTTCCCTATTCGTAGACACGCACGCTTGCTATAAATGTGTCCTTCCAGTTTTGCAAGGCAAAAAAAGGTCGCAGTTTTATCATAATATCATGATACCAGTTGTATCTCCAGGTTATTAGACGGGGATTCTTTTTGGCCATAAACAATAGCAATATAAACAAGAATTATTATTTCCAGGGCAATTCACGTACCACCATCATCAAACAACCAATAGATATCGATATTTTTCTTCTTCTGCTTGCTCTGGAAGACGGTCTCGAAGCTGGCATCGGCGCCAACTTTAAACACGCCACCTGTAGTGAAACATAAACATAAAAAGATGTTCCACATAATTCACAATCTCCTGCTTTCTAGCAGGTGCCTTAACCAATAGACCGGGGGTATCAAACTCTCAGTGTCATGTCATCACGTGACATATTGCAACTTTTTTCCTCTTTGCTAAACCGGGGGGGAATGACCAGTGCGTGACACATCCAGCCTACGGGCCGCGAGTTTGACACCCTGCAGTAGACCAAACTGGCTTTATGAACAGCTACGGAATATCCTTCATCCAATTCTCTCCAAACTCCAAAGTTTTCCCAGCATTACCCGGGGCTTAGCATTAAAGCACCGGGCTCGAAACTAGGAGACGGTGAGTTCTAGTCTTCTCTTAGGCATGAAGGACAGCTGGGTGACTTCAGGCCAGTCACATGTAGTCAGTGATAAAATTCTAATTTTTTTACTACAGGTTCTGTGGGCATGGCTTGGTGGGCATGGTGTGGCTTGGTGGGTGTGGCAGGGGAAGGATATTGCAAAATCTCCATTCCCTCCCCACTCCAGGGGAAGGATACTGCAAAAACCCCATTTCCTCCCCACTCCTGGAGGAAGAATATTGCAAAATCTGAGACCAGCCAGAGATGGTATTTGCCGGTTCTCCAAACTACTCAAAATTTCCGCTACCAGTTCTCCAGAACCTGCTGGATTTCAACCCTGCACGTAGTTCACAATATCAAACAATAAGTCGTTAAGTCAATTCTTGTTGCAGCCAAAAGATCAACGCTTGTTGATCTGAAAAAAGCAGACTCTGCACTTGTGAGAAAACGTTAGAAAGATAAAAAAATTCCATAGGACATTCAAGCTTCCAGTCCTCATTTTTTTTTGGAAGTTTTTTTTGATGTGAATTTTGAACGGTCTGAAAAGAGGCCAATCTTAACAGGACATATTTCTTATTTTAGGCCAACTTACGTTTCTGTTTCTCCTTCCCCAAGGCGGCTTCTGTATCTTCAAAACCCAGGTTCACTGTCCCAGGAAACAGAGAAAAAAAACCATTAATCAAGGCTACGTTTATTTATTTATTAGGTTTTTTTATACTGCCTTTATGACTTTATAATCCTCCTTCCCTCCTCTTATTATTGGTTTATTTAGAAATTAAATCAACCAATAAGCTATGTATATCCTGCCTTCTACCTAATTCAGTAATACAGGTAGCAAAGAGAAATTAAAATATAAACAGCAACATTAAACACTGTCCCAAAATGTGTACAGGCAGTCCTCAACTTATAACAGTTCATTTAGTGACCATTCAACGTTACAATGTTGAATGGCCATTTTTCACATTTTCAAACATTGCAGCATCTCCAGGGTCACGTGATCAAAATTAAAATGCTTGGCAACCGACTCATATTTATGACGGTTGCAGTATCCCACGTTTTCCCCTTTTGCAACCTTCTGACAAGCAAAGCCAGTGGGGAAACCAGATTCACTTAACAACCAGGTTACTAACTTAACAACTGCAGTGATTCACTTAACAACCTTAACCAACTGTGGCAGAAAAGGTCGTAAAATGGGGCAAACCTCACTTAACAAATGTCTCGCTTAGCAACATAAATTTTGTCAATTGTGGTTGTAATTTGAGGATTACCTGTAGTTATTTTTTTTAAAGGAAGGCTTCACAGAAACTAAAGCAAGACAGATTGTTGCTTCCAAGTGCATTTTTTTGGGATTCACTCACCTTGGGCCTTCATCACCCGTGACATATCCAGTCCATCTCTCATCCGAAGCAGGCAGACCGCAGTGCCGAGGTCAAAGGAGTCACTGCAAGGGAATGAAGGTGGATGAGAAAATTTGAATAATTATCAACCAGTTTTTATACAGTGTCCCTATCATCTGCTTTTTTTAAAAAAAAAACAGAATAAGCTAAGAGTAGTCTATTTATTATTTGTTGTTTTTCATTTGCTAAGTTGTGTCCGACTCCTTGCAGCCCCATGGATCACAACATGCCAGGCTACCCTGGCTTTCACTGTCTCCCAAAAATGTATTTGCATCCCTCTTCTATTAATTTTTACAGTTAACTCAAGGCCACGAACCTATCCAACATACTTTCCTCTCCCAATTTTCCCCACAACAAGAACAACCCTGTGAGGTGGGTTGGGCTGAGAGAGGACTGAGTTTTCATGGCTAAGGCAGCACTTGAACTCACAATCTCCTGCTTTCTAGCCTGGTGCCTTAACCTCAGGGGTGGATTCTAAATTTTTTTACTATCGGTTCTGTGGGCGTGGCTTATTTTGTGGGCGTGGTTTGATGGTCATGTGACAATTATTTAGGATTTACCAGAGATACTGGTCTACCAGGCTGTACCGATCCACCCATTTATTTTTGCAGGCACTGATCTACTCATGTATTTTTGCAGGCACTGATCTACTCATATATTTCTGCAGGCACTGGTCTACTCATTTGTTTTCTTTTAACACTGATCAGCTGTAGGGCAGCCCTTTGAAGCCCTGCGGCAAGAATTTAAATAGTTTTTTTCCCTCTAGCCATCAGCTGGGACTCAGGAGGCAGCAATAGATTGGGGGTGGGGCCAAATAAAAGGTAAGAATAACGCAGAGGGTGGGGGGGGGCAGGGGTTGTCGGGGGTGGGGGGGCAGGACCGGTTTGGTCACGTCATATCGTCACCGCTACCGGCTCGGCGGAACCGGGAGGAACCCACCACTGGTTAACCTCTATACCAAACTGGCTTTACGAATAGCTACAGTTTTCCTGACATTAAGTGACACCTTGCTTATCAAACTCAAAAAAACAACAACAATATATTTATGACACTCACTGATTTTCCTCTGGAACTGATTTAAACTCGGGCAGTTTTACATACTAAAAGAATATATAAAGTTTAAAGGGCAAAGGTTCTTCTATAAAGTTTCTACCTTAGCCTGACTAGGTGGCTCAGTGGCTAAGACACTGAGCTTGTCAAGCTTGTCAAGCTTGGCAGTTTGGCGGTTCGAATCCCTAGTACAGGTCTCCTGCATGAGCAGGGGGTTGGACTAGATGACCTCCAAGGTACCTTCCAACTCTGTTACTGTTAAACTGTTAGGAGAGATCCAAACCCATCCTTTCATAAACTCGCTGCACTTCTTATCCATCCCCTGTTTTCTTCATTCCTAACCCCACCCCTTTTTCATTTATTCTTCTTGAGAACATGATGTCCTTACTGTATTATGCCCACATAATTCTCCAGGTTTAGGGGAGAGTCGGTCTGCCAGTCATTTTTATAACCGAGAACTATGGTGTTGGGTTTTAGACGTCCGAGACCTGAGACCTGCAAGGAAAAAGTATAGTGAGTTTTTTTTATCAAAGGGAAAAGATACTATCCACATTTATATACTGTGCTAAACATGGTTTATTTTAACCACAGTCTGTTGAACAATTATGGTGGCCTGGTTTATATACATTGACCATAAACTAATACCTAGAAATTATCCATGGTTAGGTTCATCCAGCATACTCAGCCAGGATGGTGTCAAAATTGCAGTCTAAGGGTATGTGTGTCTTGTAATGCTTTAAACACTAGAGATCACTATTTCAAAAATATATTGATAACCATGTCTGTCTGCCTATTAGTCCGTCTGTCTGTCCATCCATCCATCCATCCACCCACCCACCCATCCATTCAGATGGACTTAGAACTTAGAGCCAGAAATTTACTTTCAACTTGTTCTTAATGTCAAAGCATTCAGTGATAAGGTTATATAAATATAATCAATCAATCAATTAAGCGTAAAGATTATTTAGAGAATTATAGGTAATCCTCACAACCATTCATTCAGTGACTGTTTGAAGTTGCCACAGCACTGAAAAAAGTGACTTATGACCAATTTTCATACTTATGACCCTTGCAGCATCTCTATGACTTGCAGGATCTCTGTGGTCATGTGATCAAAATTCCATCAAAAATTCATATTTATGATGGTTGCAATGTCCTGAGATTGCTTTTTATTATTATATTATTGTTTTTAATCACTTCAATGGTTTGGAATCAGGCATATTATAGAAATTATAAAGGATATACCCACTTTTTAATGTTGATTCTCTAAGCTATAACCCCTTTCCAAAGACACATAGAAGGCTTTTTCCTCATCATCTTGGCTACCAGAATGGGATCTCCAGGTTTTTTTAGCCTTTTTTAGCCTTTTAAATTGTCAAATGGGTTTTAGTTTGAATGTTTTAAATTTTGGGCCACAGTTATATAATTCTTTTTAAAAATTTAAATTTTGTATTGGTATGTGTTTTAGTTCTGGCTGTGCACCGCCCTGAGTCCACTAGGAGAAGGGCGGGATATAAATTGAATAAAATAAATAAAATAAATAAATAAATTTCACCCCTGCTTCACTCCCAAAACCTCAGTCGACTTTGCAAATGTGATACCTGCATAAGGCTTCTAGCTCCTGAACGTAAGTCTCCGAGGGTGATGAAGTTGTAGAACGCTTGGATTTTCCGCTTGCCGAGCCACTGGAGTTGCTCATCATAATCCTCAATGCAGGAGGAATCCTGTAGGTGATGGGAAAAAACAGAAAGGTTTGGGCTTAAAAGGGGCAGCAGATCTCCCATAAACCTCTTTATTCTTGCCCCACAGAGTGGAACGGGACAACTCGCTGCAGCCAACTTCCCATGGCCAAATTGCCGCAGGAAAATTCTATGTGGGATAACTCAATGTTACCCGCTACTATTTCTTCGATATTACCGTATTTTTCTGACTATAAGACACACCAGAATATAAGACGCACAAAAATTTCAAAGAGGAAGTTTTTGCCCTCTCTGGCCTCCAGGAGCACTCTGCAGGCCTCCCAAACCCTCTGGGCATCTAATTTTTGTGAAAATGAGCCTGTTTTTGGAAAAAATGCGACACGCTGGGTGGCGTTTTGGGAGGCCAAAAATGGCTGTATTCAGTGTATAAGATGCACCAACATTTCCACCTTCTTTTGGGGGTGGGGGAAGTGCATTTTATGCTCCGAAAAGTATGGTGTTTCCACTTTTGTGGAAATGGACAAAATGAAAATAATGTATAAGAAACAGTAGTAGATAACATTTATTATCGCATTTTGAGTTACCCCATGTGGAATTGTCCTGTGGCGAGTTGACCTGCAGCAAGTGGGTCTCAACAAGATGGCCGCAGTGAGTTGTCCTAGACCACCACCCCCAAAGTGCTGACTCCAACAAGGTCCACTAACCTCAGTCACGTTTCCGCATATCATGAGGCTGACGTTTTTAGTGAAGGCGCCAACAAAATCCACCAGGGATGGTCGGAAGTTGGGAGGACCTGACAGGACCAAACACTGAGGCCTGCAGATGGGAAAAGTAGCAACCGCAAGATGGTTAGTAAATATGTATCACACCACAAAATGGGTTCTCTGGTTCCCTAGAACAGGGGTCAGAAACCCGCGGCTCTGGAGCCACATGCGGCTCTTTCATCCCTCTGCTTCAGCTCCTTGTCACTGGTCGGTGCCACAATTTTGAGAGGAGCTTCCGGTGCCCAGGAGGAGACTCTATGGCAAGGGGCGGGTTTTCCACAATTGATAGGGCTTTCAGTTAGGACAGGTAGAAGAAAAAGAATACCGCAATAGGAGGAAACTCTATGGTGAGGGAACCGGACTTCCGGTAGGCTCCAGAATTGAACGGGGGGCTTCCAGTTAGGACCTTTGTGGCTCTTTGAGGGTTTAAGGTTGCTGACCCCTGCCCTAGAAGATCTGCATGAAGCCAGAGGCAATCGCCTGAAGAGCTGAATTGTACATCCAATTATGAGGCTATTGCCATACCCCCATATAAGTTTTACTTTACATTTTATATATGTTTACTTCTTTTCCATCATCTTCTCATCATACATTAAATTATAATAAATAACCACAAGATGACCTGGGCAGCAGGGACAGACAAGCTCCCTTTAACTCAGTTCAGCTGCAGATATGTTACATGTCTTTGGTGCAGGCGCATTAGGGAATATAATTCAATTAGGCAGCTAACATGGAGGGGAGCAACTGGCATAGCTAGGATATTCCTCAAAACACTATAGAGGTAGTCCTCGCCTTATGACCACAGTTGAACCCAACATTTCTGTCGCCAAGTGAGATATTTGTTAAGTGAGTTTTGCCCCATTTTACAACTTTTCTTGCCACAGTAGTTCCTGTAAGTCAGAGGTGTCAAACTCAAGGCCTGTGGACTGGATTCGGCCCCCAGGGTGCTTAGATCGGGCCCACGGGGCTGCCCTGGAAACAATGAAGGACCAGTCTGTGGTGTCTCTGCCAGTGAAAAGAGAGCTCTCCCCGAGCTCACAGAGGGAGGCAGGAGGCTGTCGTGGCCAAAAATGGAACACGGGAGCCAGTTTCCACTGGCAGAGCGCTCAGGCCACCACAAACGCCCCCGACAGGAGTGATGGCCACGCCCACCATGCCCACCCCAGCTGCCTCAGGTTAAATACAACCTGCTGCGGCCCTCAATGAAATCGAGTTTGACACCCCAAGCAAATCACCACTTGTTACTTCAGCAACAGGGTTGTTAAATGAATTGGGCTTCCCTATTGACTTTGTTTGCAAAAGGTGATTACGTGACCCCAGGACACTGCAGCTCTCATAAAAACGAGTCATTTGCCAAACATTTGAGTTTTGATCACGGGATCAAAACGTGGGGATGCTGCTACGGATATATGCGTGAAAAGTGGTCATAACAGCCTTCTGTGCCATTGAGCTCTGAGCTGAGGAAGCTTCTTGGATGAGAAGCGACACGTTTTTCAAAAAGAGAAACCAGAAAGCCCAGTCACCTCTTGAAAAAAGCACCTTTGGGAAAACCACCGTTCAAAGCACCTTTGCAGCCCTTATTCCCTCCGTGAGGTGAACCCCAGAACCAAGGACACTTCTCTTCCACTCACCGGAAATTCTTGACATGGTCTTCCACATTGGTCAGGTTCATGGCATTCGAGAGAGCCATGTTGTAGGTCCCAGCTTGGACTGAGGAGCCCCAGTTTACCTCTGTGAAGAACAAGGAGGGATAGAGGGTTGGGAAGAGAAAAATGCGATATTCTGTCAGTCATTTCCTACTATCTCTATATAAGTTTAAGTTTATTAAAATTTATATGCCGCCCTTCTCCCGAGGGACTCGGGGCGGCTCACAGCAATAAAATCACAATAATAACAACAATAATAAATACGATTATAATTAACAATTAAAACTCAGTTTAAAACCCACAATTAAAATTAAAACTCCCAGAACAGACTCAGCCAGTTTGCTTAAAGAGCCATGTCTTCAGGTCCTTGCGGAAGGAACGGAGATCAGGGGCCGTCCAAGTTCGGTGTGTAACTCGTTCCAGAGGGTCGGTGCAGCCACAGAGAACGCCCTCATCCTGGGTACCGTCAGCCGACATTGTCTGGTCGACAGCACCCAAAGGAGGGCAGCTCTATGTGAGCGTACTAGGCGGTGGGAGGCCAGTAGAGCAGGGGTGAAATGCTACTGGTTCGCACCGGATCAGGTGAACCAGTAGTAATAAAAGCTACTGGTTCGTCTGGAGCGGTATTTCCAACAATCAGCTGTGCCGCGCAATTTATATTTAATTAATCTAAATCACGCGGCACAGCTGTTTCCCCCCCTCACTGTTCTACTTACCTTCAAAAGGCTCCTTTTTCCACGCAAAGCATGCATTTGGTACGTACTGCAAATGCGCATACATGCAGTGTACATTTGGCACGCCATGCACAGGCAGCGAACCGGTGCCAATCCACGGAGGATTTAACCACTGCGGTAGAGTGATTTCCCCCAAATCAAGTAGGATATGGAAATAAGATCCTTGGCTTGCTATAAACTCTTAGAATCTTTTTCTGTTAAATATGGGGCTAAACAGGATCACTCTCACAACATTTATAGTATGACCTCTTATGATCATAACTGAGCCCAAAATTTCTGTTACTGAGCGAGACAGTCGTTAAGTGAGTTTTGCCTCATTTTACAACCTTTTCTGCCCCAGTTGTTATGTAAATCCCTGCTGTTCTTAAATTAGTAACATGGCTGTTTAGTGTTAATCTGGTTTCCCCGTTGCTTGTTGGAAGATCACAAAAGGGGATCATTAAACTAGACATACCCAGTTCCTGCAACTGTTCTTCCTATGTTTTAGCCTCCAGTCCCCTAATCATCTTTGTGGCTCTTCTCTGCCCTCTTTCTAGAGTCTCTACATCTTTTTTTACATCGTGGCGACCAAAACAAATTTTGATATCAGGTTGTGGATGGTGGGCATTACAGTTTTCCAACTCTGGAGAACATCATGTGGGGATGGGCGGTGCGTACTTTAGGAACTTCAATTTCAAGGTGTCCTCACCTGGTTTCTTGTAGGTGACATATGCCAAGCTCACAATGATGACCCCAACAACAATGAGAGCTGCCCACCAAGTCAGTAGGAACATGATGACCACGGAGATGATGGATCCAAAGAGCGCAGTCCATTTGCTGAAGTAGCGGAAGGAAGGCCTCCAGCCTAGAAGGGGTAAAAGGGAGATGGGGATGTCATTTATCCATCTCCAGAGCCCTCCCATCAGTTTAATCTAAAGCTTTAGCCATGCAAAAGATTTAATGTTTTTAATGTTGGCCATGCAAGGCTAGAAACTTAGGAGAGTTTCTGTGATGTGGTCATGTACTATAGAAGTATACAGTAGTGGCCAAAATTGTGGAAACCTTTTGGGGAAAAGTGTATTTTCTAAAACTAGCTAATAACACCACTTTTTTTTTGGAGTAGTACCATAAAATTATATATCAATGGAAAGATAATTTAATCAAGAATGCAATGCAACAACTTTTATGAAGGATTTGCTATTAGAATAGCAGTTATAGTATAAAGAAGAAAAGTGAAACATGTAGAAAAAATGAGATATATATAAAAATTATCACCATAGAAAAAACGAGATATACAAAAATTATCACGTCAGTTAATTGGGTAAACTTTAGCATGAATTACAGCCTTATGACGTCTTCCCATGGAGTGAACCAAGTCTTTTAGTTCTGCAGTTGTTATAATGTGAAACCAAGATTGAATGATTGCTTCTATTAACTGGGTTTTATTGCTGGGTCGCCTCTGACTAACAAGTTTCTTTAGTCTGCTCCATAAATTTTCAATTGGGTTAAGGTCTGGGTTATTCCCAGGCCATTCCAGCAGTGTAATATGATTATCTTGAAACTCCAAAAAAACAAAAGTGGTGTTATTAGCCATCAAACCTCAAAAATACACTTTTCCCAAAAGGTTTCCACAATTTTGGCCACTACTGTATATTAATCATGAAATCTACTATTATATACAGCATACATCATCACATAAGCTACTATTATACACTGCATACACAACTATATATATGGGCATATATAATACATAATACATAGTATTATGTTCTTAATATGTAGCATCTTACAACTTGCAATGTAATGCAGTGTACCCTTTTCAGATTTCTCTACAACGACTACTAACTTTTATACAGTAAATGTGTGCGTGTATGACTTTTCTTGCCACATTCATTAAGTGAATTGCTGCAGCTGTTAAATTAATAATATGATTGTTAAGTGAATCTGGTTTTCCCCATTGACTTTGCTTTTCAGAAGGTCGCAAAAGGTGATTCCATGATCCTTGGACACTGCAACCATCATAAAACCCTGAGTCAATTGTCAAGCATCCAAATGTAAATCGCATGACCATGGGGATGCAGCAATGGTCGTAAGTGTGAAACGTGGTCCCGAGTCACTTTTTTCAGGGCCGTGGTAACTTCAGATGGTCACTAAGTGGACTCTTGTAAATCAAGGACTACCTGTATGGCTACCATGAACTTCCTAGTCCTTCTTTTCTCTGGACCAGCCAAATCCCAAATCCTGCAGCCGTTCTTCATATGTTTTTGTGTGCAAGCCTTTAATCATCTTAGCTGCGTGTTCTTGGCACCTTTTCCCCAAAGTCTCAAAGTACCCATCCCATTTTACCTGGGGAATTGGTGATGGTAGCATGGAAACAGCTGAAGTTGATCAGGGCGTACGAGCAGAGGAAAAAGTTGGAGATGATGGGAGCGATGGTATTCAGTTCAGCTGCAAAGGGAGAGGGATGTGACTGAGGAATACTGACAAGCCACTGCAGTACTCAGCAAGGATTCTCCTGTGTCGGGCACAGGTAAGTCCTTGACTTACGACCTCCGTTGAGCCCAAAATTTCCATGGCTAAACAAAGCACTTAAATGAGCTGCACCTCATTTTAAGGTCTTTTTGTTAAGCAAATCGCTACAGTTCACCTTTTACAGTGCTGTTGTAACTTCGAATGGACACTAAACGAATGTAAGTCGAGAACTCCCTGTGACTAATCGTCTATCCCAGCAATGGGATTTCTTTTTAACAATTTTATTTTGTTAAACAATTTTGACCTCTCAACTGAATTCACATCACATGCTAGACCTCAACGAATTAAGAAAACCCCATTGCTGTGTTCCCCAAATCTGCTGGGCTCAAACAAATCAGTTATGATTTAACCAAATAACAAAGTTGGAAAGGACCTTGGAGGTCTTCTAGTCTGACTCAAGCAGGAACCCCTGTACGATACCAGACAAATAGTTGACCAATCTCTTCTTAAAAACCCCCAGTGACCCATGACTTCTGAAGGCAAGTCGTTCCACTGATTAATCGTTCAGGAAATTTCTTCGTTCTAGTCTGGTTCTCTCCTTGATTAGTTTCCATCTCTTGCTTCTTGTCCTGCCCTCAGGTGCTTTGGAGAACAGGCTGATCCCCTTTTAAAGGAAACCATATTGAAAACAGGACTTCCTACAACGCCCAGATCCAGAAAGCACCCAATCCATTTAATGTACTGTGTTTCCCCAAAAATAAGACCCTGTTTTATATTTTTTTGAACCCTGAAATAAGCGCTTGGCCTTATTGCCATGCGCTCAAAAGCCTGATTGGGCTTATTATCAAGGGGAAGTCTTATTTTGGGGGAAACAGGGTACTTAATGGGTTGTGTGAATTTGTTCATTACAACTGGCTCCTCAATCCATGGTAAGATTCATCTTCTACTTCAAAGCAACTCCAACCTATTCATCTCACTTTGCCCTCGACTTCCAGCCCTTGGTATTTTCATTCACATTTTGGGCTAGAGAAATTAAGATGACCAATGTATAAGCTTACCTATGAGGATGAAGGCAATGGCCAGGATAAAGGTTAGAGCATAAGCCCTCAGTGGCTCCTTATTCTTTCCATAACCCTTGGCGAAAAAGCCGATCAGAGGGTAGAGATTGTCCTGACAGAGGCACTAGAAGGAAGAGGGACATACATAAACTTGGAAGCAAGAGTCTCAAAACTCATTAGGGACAATCATGGCTGGTGGCCACAGCGATGTTTAAAGGCTTCTTGCCATAACCAGATGTTGGGCAGGTTGGAGCAAGTCAAAAAGATTTGATTTGGCATTAGTCCCATCTCAATCCATATGAACACGGGCAGAGGTGGGCTGCTGCTGGTTTGGGGCTGGCTCAGGCCGGTTCAGGCGAACTGTTAGTTGCAACCTGCAGGTGGGCCGGCCCACCTGCCCCGGCACTATGCAGTCTTATTTAGTCATGTTTTTAAGCCATGCGCATGCATGCAAGCCATGCGCACGAACAAAACACATGCGCGGAAGGCTGCATGCATGTGCAGTAGATGCGTGCTCATCTTTTTGGTACTGGGCAAACCGGTTGTTAATTCATGTGCCGCCCACCTCTGAACATGGGGCTCGATTCACCGCTCCCATTAATTTACCTGCGATAACATCTCTATCTTTTGGCTATGGAGATTCTCAATCACCACCAGGTCATGGTTGTCCCAAAGTTAATTTTCAAAAGGCAACTGGACTTTCTTGGGGTTTTTTTTCGTAAAAAATGTTTCTGAAGAACTGAAGAAACCCAGATGTTTCTTCAGTTCTGACAACGGTGAGGAATAGAAGGATTTATATTCTTTACGATTGCGAAGAATATAAATCCTTCCATTCCCCACCATCTGGTCAGAACTGAAGAAGCTTCTTGGATGAGAAGCGAAGTGTTTTCAAGAAGAATGTCCAGTTGTAAAAATCACTTTTGGGACATCTCTATCTACTTTTCTCTGATAAACAGCCCCGAAGTGAAGAACAAGAAAGCAATTTACAAGGCTGTTACAGCTTTTAATTAACTATCTCTATTCTTCCTCACCTCCAAGCTTTAAAACTGAATGATAATATTCAAACTCAGCACATTCAGAAAGAACTGAACTGGCGAAGTTCAGTCCAGACAGGTGAGAAAGAACTTGTTCCTTTCTTAAAGTTAAAGGCTAACCCATGAAATTGACCTGGTGATAGATTTGGGGAGAGATAAAACCAAACTTTATCACAACATAAGGAGATTACAGAGTTTGCTGCCAAGAGACTTGTGGAAAGTCATCCTCACAGTAGGATTTCTGCAACCCTAAGCTTCTCCAGATGTATTCAAACAACCAGAATTCACAGCCAACATCAATTTGAAGGATATTCTTGGGGGAAACCCCAACATGGTATCCAGTGGTGAAATTCAATTTTTTAAAACTATCAGTTCTGTAGGCGTGGCTTGGTGGGCGTGGTGTGACTTGGTGAGCGTGATAGGGAAATGATACTGCAAAATCTCCATTCCTACCCCACTCCAGGGGAAGGATACTGCAAAATCCCATTCCCTCCCCACTCCTGGGGAAAGGATACTGCAAAATCTCCATTCCTACCCCACTCCAGGGGAAGGATACCGCAAAATCCCATTCCCACCCCACTCTGGGATCAGCCAGAGGTGGTATTTGCCAGTTCTCCAAACTACTCAAAATTTCCGCTACCGGTTCTCCAGAACCTGCTGGATTTCACTCCTGATGGTATTCCTATTTCATAGAATCATAGGGCTGGTAGGGATCTCGGAGGTCTTCTAATCTAACCCCCTGCTCAAGGTAGGAGCCTTGTACCATTTCAGTCAAATGGTTGTCCAGTCTATTTCTGAAAACCTCCAGTAATGACCCAAAGGTGCTTTTTCAAGAGGCAACTGGACTTTCTGGTTTTTCTTTGAAGACGTTTCACTTCTCATCCAAGAAGCTTCTTCTGAAGAGCTAAAGAAGTTTCTTGGACATTTCGAAGTTTCTTAGAAGCAAAACATCTTCAAAGACAGTCCAGTTGCCTCTTGAAAAAGTACCTTTGGGACAACCATGACCTGGATGACTAAGAATCTCCACAGAGCTCCAGCAATGAGCACCCACAACTCTGGGAGGCAAGTTAATTCATTGATTACATCACACTCGTGTCGCAAGCACTGAGATGCTTCTGGGTTTAAAGGATTAACTGGGACATCACCATTGCCCCGGGGATGCCCAGTTGGAGGCTCCATTCAAGTCCCTGGCAGGACCTGGAGCGAAGGACGAAATCTCACCCCACCCCATGGCAGCACTCAGGTCTTGAATGTGGGCTTGCTATCTCCAACCCAGTGTCCTAAGCAGTGGTAAAATGCTCTGAAGTCTGCTACTGGTTTCCTGCATGCACACATGCACGGTGCACCAAACACGTTTGTGCACAGCAGGAGCTATTGCACAGCGCTGAGGAAGGAGGCTTAAGCCTTTTCTAAGGTAAGTAGAACAGCGAAGGAGGGAAACAGCTGTGCCGCATGATTTAGATTTGCTAGAAAGCAGGATTTCCTGCTTTCTAGCGAATATAAATCGCGCAGCACAGCTGAGCGTCAGAAATACCAGTTTGTTCAAACCGGCAGGGTTTTTTTACTATCGGTTCAGGTGAACCGGTCTGAACCGGTAGCATTTCATCCCTGGTAAGTATGTGAGTCACTGTGCTACCGTATTCTATTAATTAATTGATACTGTTTCTTGCCCCATAATTTTTTCCCCAATCTACCTGGAAGACCTTGGGGGCTGACACAAGGCAAGCCAAAGCAGAGGAGAGTGTGGCAGCGAAGATTCCCGCAGTGATCAGGGGGCTGAATGCCGACACCATACTCATTGTCTGGAAAAGAAGGAAGGAAGGGGGACAGTTTTGAAGAGAGAAAAGTCCAAGTCACACATCCCAAATCTCTCTTCTACTCTCAAAGAGCAGGGGGGAGGGGGGGAGTCCAGTAGCTTACCTGGTAATCATTGGCAAGCCCATATTCACAGGTCTGTGTCGTAGTACATTCGGTGAAGTTCCAGCCGTACCCACAGCCCAGGCCAACACAGTCTCCGCCGGTGAAGTTGGAAACCAAAGTGTCATTGAGACTTCCAGAGGCATCACGGATGACGCAAGCTCCTGTAGAAGATGAAGAAGAAAAAAGGTCTCACAGGATGGGACCCTGGCATGGCTGTCAGGTGCCTGTGGTCCCAAAATGGAATCTTAGTTACCTATGGTGGCAGCAATGGCCAAATAGCTGATGGTGGTCAGGAAGATAGCCATTAGTGTTCCTTGGGGGATGGCCACTGCTGGGTCCTGCAAAAGGAAGACCGTGGTGAGCAAAAATGGGTAAGAAGCTGGTGGAAGAAGAAGAAGAAGAAACACAGGAGAAAGCAAGGGTGCATTCAGCTAAAACCATGAACAATATGATTCTTCACTTCCTAGAACTGCCTCCAACCCTGCACTCTCTTTCTAGCACCATCTTCTTGGCAGCTGGATGAAACCACCAGAAGATCTTTCTCAGTTCAGCTGGAATGAAGAACAGTGTTATAAAATTCTGATTATATGTAGCACCACAGAGCAAGCAAAGAGTACAGTCACCATGTGCTTTACTGCTCAACTGTTTTAACTGTGGTGCTATATATAAGCAGAATTTCTAACAGGTCATGGATCCAGAGATCCAAGCGTGTTGCAGCAGCATAAACAGCCCAGTCATAACCAACTACAGAAAATAAGCGCAAGATACAGCAACAGAAAGAAGACTGCCACAGAATAAAAGAAAATGGCTAATAACACAGTAGCAACAAAGATTTCATTTGCAAACCTGACAAACCAGAACTATCAGTTTTGGAAATTCAAGATGAAGATGCTGCTAATAAGAGAAGGTACACAGTGACTATACTCTCTGTTTGCTCTGTGGTGCTATATCTAAACACATTTCTAACAAACAGTGTGGTTTTTCCTCCTACAGCGGCCCCATCTAATGACATTTGAGGGAAGGGAAGCCATCATCAATGATCTGGAAGCCAATTAGCTGCTCCCTTTAGGGGACTATCCGCTGCTCCAACACATAGGATCCAGCCTTCAGCTCAACTGGGACCGGGGACAATGTGGTTCTTCTGTTCCTGGAATTGCCTCTATCTGCTATATCAAAGGGTGGTAAGATGTTTCACCAGCACTGAATGTACTTTTGGGGCAAGTGCCAGGGATCAGAAGATATGCATGGCACTGCCCCAACCTACAAAGGAATTGTTGGTTGCAACAGTTGCTGCAATATTACTGCAATATTACTGCAACCAGCCATATGTGCTGGAATTCATTGGCACCACTCTCTTGCTTACCGTGACATGTATATTAAATCCAACGGTGCTCTATCTGGTCTGTTGCATAATTAGAGATCAATACGGTTACCAAGGACATTACTCAGCTAGGTATGGTATCTCTACTTGCTTGTTCTTCTTTCCCAGCCTGTAAGGCCCTTCCCCCATTTCCTATAAGCCTGAAAGCCCTGGTACTCAGGTGTGTGTCCATTCTATGCTTATCTGATCCAGGTAAAGTAATTTCACAGGCAACGGGAATTATTTTGCAAGGTGCAAACAATTCAAATAACTGCTGTAGTCCCCTTCTGTGAACCACAGCAGAACATAACCCATAAATAAGTTACTCTGTGTGGAAGAGGTACTTTGAAGTCCTTGATGCTTTCTGAGCTTGGTTATTTGCTTGCAGACATTTCATTGCCCAACTAGGTAATATCATCTCTACTAATAGTACATCGCTACTTATGTTACCTAGTTGGGTAATGAAATACCTGCAGGTCAACAACTCAAGCTCAGAGAACAACACCAAGGACTCCACAGTTCAACCCTGAGCTACAGATATTCTCTTCTGTAAAATATTATTTGATTTAGTTCCATTCCAAATCTTACTTTGTGGGTTGGTTTTATTGCAAAACCAGGACGCTTCTTGAAAAGTTGAATTACAGCTGCACAAACCCCAGGAAGAAGGGTTAAGTATCTTCCAATATGATTTCCTTGTGTGCCTCCCTCATCTGAAGTGATCCAGATAAACAATAAAGGGCCTTTTCTGTGTTGGCCCCAATTTGGTAGTTCCTTCCCAGAGGAAGGCCACTTGGTCTTCATCTTCTTCTCTAAGAAGATCTTGAGGCAAGATTCTTAGTCCTGATCTTGGCCTTCACCTTGGAAGATCTTGAATCAAAGATCTTGGCCCTGATCTTCTTTTCTGAGCTTCTAACAGATAGTGGTTTGGGATTGGTCTAAATTGGTGTTTTTCACACTTGGCTGCCGTGTGAAAAATGTGTAGACTTCACATCTCATGCTGGCTATGGAATTCTGGGAGGTGAAGTTCACATATTTTTTTTAAGTTCCCAAGTTTGAAAAACATTGATCTAAATTATCTTTCTGAACAAAGGGGGTAATCTTTTAAGCCTATACCCTCTGATTGTTGAGGAGTTTTAGTGGGATTCCTTTGTCTTCTATGGAATGTGGCTTGGCCAGATCTTGCTCACACATGTCTAAAGAGCAACCTGAATGGAAAATTACTCTCTCTTTTATCCAAGTATGAGATCACTCTTCCTTAATCAATATCATATACTGTAGGTATGCTGGGTCTGCAGTTCCCAGAAGTCAGTTTTAAAGGCACCAGGATGCAGAAGGGTGTGTATGTGTGTGTGTTTTAACTCACTGCAGAGGAGCCTGGGGGGAAAAAAAAGAATAAACTAGTACACAGGATATTCTATTTGTTTTCTTCATAAGGTCAAACCATGAACTTTGGTTGAAATTATATTGCTGTAAACCCTCACTCCTCATCCTGTACTAATGGTGAAATGCAAATGTCTGCCTTTGAGTCAAGTGTTGACTTTTGGTGATAGATGGACAAGTCTATGCAGTCTTCTTGGCAAGAGGATTTTTTTTGGGGAAGTGGTCCTAGGGTTGAGAGAAAGGGACTGGCTCAAAGTCACCCATCTGGCTTTGTCCCTAAGGCAGGTCTACAACTAGTCTCTAAACTTCCCATCCTACGTCTCAGGCTTCCTTATGAAAATGTTCTGCTGGTGGGAAAAGATAAAGAAAACACCATTGACTTTCCAGCTGTTCCCACAGAGAGCAGAAATCTTCAAGATTCCCCCTCCTGGGTGGGTTCACAGTATCCAAAAATCACCTTGGGTCCTTCTTAAGTGTCCCCAATCAAATCCCGGGGGCAAGGCTGCCAAAGAACCAGCTCTGTCAGCAAATGCGAAACATCGTGGAGAAAGAGCAGGAGAAGACATTCTGCCTACCCAGCAGCAGCCATCTTGGGGAGGAGCTCTCCCATCCTACATCTCGAACCAAGCTAGCTCAGTAATATTTTATTTGAAAAAACAACCTTTAGTCCCCCAAACGCTTTCAGTCTTCTCCTTTTCTGGAAGTGCAAGCAGAATTTCTATGAGGTTTTTGACTTTTGAAGTCAACATTTCATCCTTTTGCTACAAGTCTGTAGAGATTCTCAGTCATCCAGGTCATGGTTGTCCCAAAGGCGCTTTTTCAGGAGGTAATTGGACTTTCTTGTTTTTTTCTTTTGAAGACATTTCGCTTCTCATCTAAGAAGCTTCTTCAGCTCCATTCCATTCCCCACTATCCTGTCAGAGCTGAAGAAACTTCTTGGATGAGAAGTGAAACGTCTTCAAAAGAAAAAAAACAAGAAAGTCCAGTTGCCTCCTGAAAAAGCGCCTTTGGGACATCCATTTGCTATGTTTTCTCCAGACCCTCCTATGCAAGCAGGGGGTTGGACTAGATGACCTCCAAGGTCCCTTCCAACTCTGTTCCTGTTAACCTGACTCTTGCTTTCAGTGAATTTGTTACCATTTTTTCTCTCTCTACTTTTAAATCCTTTAAGTAGAAGAAAAATAGATGAGGGAGTCAAGCTATTCTCCAAAGCACCTGTGGGTAGGACAAGAAGCAATGGGTGTGGAAACTAATCAAGGAGAGAAGCAATTTAGAACTAAGGAGAAATTTTCTGACAGTTAGAACAATTAATCAGTGGAACAACTTGCCTCCAGAAGTTGTGGATTCTCCAACACTGGAAGTTTTAAAGAAGAGATTGGACAACCATTTGGCTGAAGTGGTGTAGGGTTTCCTGCCTAAGCAGGGGGTTGGACTAGAAGACCTCCAAGGTCCCTTCCAACTCTGTTATTCTATTCTATTCCTCTGAAAAATGCCCTGGAAATATTTTACTGATAAGTGAATATGAATCTTTAAGGACGGCAGACAACCAAGAGAAGAAGTCTTACTGAGTTCCATTATGTATTGATGCAACCTGCAGCCAACAGCTTCATCTTCCTTGAAGGAAAGCTGCCAACCAACTTACCTTCAGATCTCCTGAAATATTGGCCCCGGCCAGGATCCCAGTGGCTGAAGGGAAGAAGATGGAGAACATGCCAAAAAAACTTCCTGATTCTCCTCGCCATTCAGGCCCGAGGTTCTGCAAGAAGATGTCACCTTGAAGAAGGAAAGGAATTTTTTTTTTTAAAAAAAAAAATCAAGTACCCTAAAAGCCATTGAACTTTTTTTATTTTAAAGGCATTTGGCTTTTCAAGAATCCAGACTATAGAGCTTCCTTAGACAGAATCAAGCTATTTGCTTATCTGCTTTAATGTGGTTTGCTTTAATTAGCAGCAGCTCCTTAAGATCTGTCTTTATTATTCTACTTGATGACTCAGAAGACGGAAACCTGGAGCTTCAGTAGGCACAATAAATACTTGAACTCTTTCCTTTGTCCCCCCGAAATAAAGGCTCTAGTCCTCCTCCTCATCTCCTTTTAAGGACCCAATAATCCCTTGCAGGGTGGAATTTGGGCAACTGAATGGCGCTATCAGAGTATTTACTGGCCAGATGCCCTTCCTGTTGCCAATACAGAGTTTTGTTCAGCAGATATATTCTCATTGTGCCCAGAAAGAGAAATATCTTCCTCTACCCAGGATCGAACTCACAGCCTCCTGATTGTGAGGCGAGAGCTCCACCTCTAGGACACCACACCACTCTAGTCCTCATGATTCCAAATAAAGGACACTCTGAATATGAACACTGGAAGCTGCTTTACCGCGTCACAATACTCAAGTCTGGTTAACTGTAATGTACTGAACAAACTAGAGTTGCCTGTATTGACAAACCAAACGATGACTATGTGAAGAGTATGTGGTAGCCCGGTGGAACCCATTACATAGTGCAGTGTGTGAACCCCAGGCAGAGGGCAGACAACTGATCTGTCTTTGGCCAGGGATGGCCAGTATTGTTTTAGGCAAAAATTGTTCTTCGTCTGGGTCCATTGGAAGTCTCATGGACAGAACTTGTGACCTTCACTGGGCCTGTTGGGGACAGAACTTGTGACCTTCGCTGGGCCTGTGAAATTCAGTTCTTCCTGAATATGGCCTGCTCTATAATGTTATTGAACTATACCACATGTTTGGAATCATTAGGAAAATAATGCTGCAGAGTGTGCAGGAGTATAAATGTTGCATCTGCTACAACTCTTTAAAGCAGCTGTGTCTCAGAAGATACAGTTGCTTTAAAGAGGAGGACAGTATTTGTATTGCTACCTAAACTGGGAAGCCATGCAATCTGTATTATATAACTATGGTTCTGTCCAGAAGATCAAGAATTGCAGAGAAAGAGTCTTACTACGGTAGCTGAAGTAGCCTGTGGACATTCTCTCTGGTGAGGCAGGGATTAAGGTCCCGACGAAATAGTTGATGAAGGATATCATGATGACAAAGAAGAAAACAACTTGAGCCTGGAAATAGAAACAACAAGAGAAAAGATATAAAGGTTTCATTCCCAGCTGGATCAGCTTCCTGATCCTGGATTTCATGGGAGACTTATTCAATATATATGGATTTTACCTGAATTTGATTAGTTATTTTCATTCACTGGTTAGATACAGGTAGTCCTTGACCTACAATCACAACTAAGCCCAAAATTTACATTGCTATGTGAGACCTTTGCTCCATTTTACAACCTTTTTTGCCACAGCTCTTAAATGAATCACTGCAGTAGAAAACACGGTTTTTAAGCGAATCTGGCTTCCCCCATTGACTTTGCTTGTCGGAAGGTCGCAAAAGCTGATCACAGGACAAACACACACACACACATACACACCTGGGACACTGCAGCCGTCATAAATATGAACCAGCTGCTGTGCATCTGAATTTTAACCACATGACGGTGGGATTGCTGAAATGGCCATGAAAAACCGTCATAAAGCACCTTTTTTTGTAACTTTGAACAGTCACTAAATGAACTGTTATAAGTCAAGGACTACCTGTATATCCTTTGTGCAATTAAAATCTACAAGGTTCCCTGGGTAGACAGTGTAGCTTTGCAGTATCCAGAACTAAGATTAATCCCGAAGTTTTATCCCCCTTCCTAAACTGAGGACAGTTTGATTATTTCTATGGAGATCTACCACCTTTGCATAACTGGTTTAATTTGTTGTTTTCTCCCTCACTTCCTCAAGGGTTTTTGCCTAACAGTCCATACCACAATGCTGCTCGGCTCCCTTTTAAAGATTTCAACAGCTAACGGCACTGCCAAAAATTGTTAGCAGCCTCTTCTCCTGTGCTGTTAATAACTTCAGCCAGTTGCTGCTACCAGATAATGATATGATAGCAATTGTATAATAAGGTGTATATTCCACGTCATGAACAGCTTTGCCAGATAATCATCTGTAGCTCAGTGTTTAATATTCAGAAACAAGTCTGACTGGTTTTCCTCCTGATAATCGTTTGGAAAACCTTCCCAGAATTGCCCACACATTGTATCTGTCCTCCAGATATCTGAAGGTTGTTCCTTCTGAAATTGTCAGATGACACATAGACCCAAAGTGGAGACATCCACCCCCCCCAACCCACATTCCTTGGATTTCCTCAATCATCTTCTCTAACCGCTAAGATCTACTCTCTCCTTTGGACTGGCCACCCATCCCAATGTCAACAGGTCTGTGCCATTACTTTCGCTTCCCATTCCATGCCAGCCAAAGCGATTCCAAGGAGGACGGTGACAGTGATCACACCCACGATGCGGATATCGTTCACTGGATCGGTCATCACGGCATCAGACTCCTGTGGAAAGATGCAGAGGGTGAACATTTCCTTCCCATCAGCTTCCTCCTCTAAGCAGCCTCCCAGAGGCATGCTCGTTGCTGCTACCATCCTGAGATGGTTAGATTGACCTGATTAGCCCAACAATGTCATATAGTCTTAAATGGTGGGGAGCAGCACTGGGGGAAGGAAGGAAGGAAGGAAGGAAGGAAGGAAGGAAGGAAGGAAGGAAGGAAAGAGGGAAGGAAGGAAGGAAGAGAAGGCAGGGAGGGAGGGAGAGAGAAGGAAGGAAAAGAAGATAGGGAGGGAGGGAAGGAAGGAAGGAAGGAAGGAAGGAAGGAAGGAAAAGAAGAAAGAGGGAGGGAAGGAAGAGAAGGCAGGGAGGGAGAGAGAGAGAAGAAGGGAAAGAAGAAAGAGGGAGGGAAGGGAGGAAAGGAAGGAAGAGGGAAGGAAGGAAGAGAAGGCAGGGAGGGAGAGAGAGAGAAGGAAGGGAAAGAAGATAGGGAGGGAGGGAGGGAGGGAAGGAAGGAAGGAAGGAAGGAAAAGAGGAAAGAGGGAGGGAAGGAAGAGAAGGCAGGGAGGGAGAGAGAGAGAAGGAAGGGAAAGAAGAAAGAGAGGGAGGGAAGGGAGGAAGGGAGGGAAGGAAGGAAGAGGGAAGGAAGGAAGAGAAGGCAGGGAGGGAGAGAGAGAGAAGGAAGGGAAAGAAGAAAGAGAGGGAGGGAAGGGAGGAAGGGAGGGAAGGAAAGGAAGAGGGAAGGAAGGAAGAGAAGGCAGGGAGGGAGAGAGAGAGAGAAGGAAGGGAAAGAAGAAAGGGAGGGAAGGAAGGAAAGAAGGAAGGAAGGAAGGAAGGTAGGTAAGAGAAGGATGGAGGCAGGGGTGAAATGCTACCGGTTCACTCCAGTTCATGTGAAATGGTAGTGATAAAAACTACCTATTCGCCAGAAACGGTAGTAAAAAAAATGCTTTAAAAAATTTAAAAAAAGGCTCCGAGAATTGCGCGGCACAGTTGATTGTCAATCAGCTCTGCCGTGCGATCGTCGGAACCTTTTTTTAAAACATAGTTTTTATTAAACATTTTCCAACTTTAAAAACCACACGTAACAAATACAAATAGAAACAAAGAAAAAGAAAAAGACAAGCAACACAACAGTATAATACAATTTTACAGCTAACAGTTCCAGCGAATAGGTAGTAAAAATGCTTTTAAAAAGGTTCTGACAATCACAGCTTGTGCTGCGCGATCATCAGAACCTTTTTTTTTATTATTTTTTTTAAAGCATTTGTTACTACTATTGGTTCCAACGAATAGGTAGTAAAAAGATACTTTAAAAAAGTAAAAAAATAAAGGATCCGATGATCGCGCAGCACAGCTGTGATAGTTGGAACCTTTTTTTTTTTTACTTTTTTAAAGCTTTTTTTTTTTTACTACCTACTCGCCCAAACCGGTAGTAAAAAAATGCTTTAAAAACGTTTTTTTTAAAAATGGCCACGCCCACTGTCACATGACACCCTACCAAGCCACGCTCACAGAACCGTAAGCAACAAATTTTACATTTCACCACTGGATGGAAAAGACATAGAGGTAGAGGTAGAGGTTGAGGGACGGAGGGAGGAAATGAAGGAAGAAAGGAAACAAAAGAAAGGAAGCAAGGGAAGAGAGGGAGGGAAGGGGGGAGGCGGGAGAGAGTGGGAGTTGGACTGGGAGTGGAAGACGGAAAGGAAAGGAAAGGAAAGGAAAGGAAAGGAAAGGAAAGGAAAGGAAAGGAAAGGAAAGGAAAGGAAAGGAAAGGAAAGGAAAGGAAAAAAGGAAAGGAAAGGAAAGGAAAGGAAAGGAAAGGGCAAATCTGCTTTAGATACTGTAGAAGTATGAGATCTGTAAATTGGAAGGTAAAAATGGCTTTATCAGGAATCCAAGGACTCACCCCATAATTTGCACAGCTAACTTGCTATTCAGCAAAACAGTGAGAACAGTATTTCTTAATCTTGCCAACTTTAAGATATGTGGACTTCAACTTCCAGAATTCCCCAGCCAGCATGCATCCATTGCTGCAGCATGCTTCCCATGCTAGCTGAGGGATTCTGGGAGTTGAAGTCCACACATCTTAAAGATGGCAAGGTTGGGAAACCCTGAGCTAGAAGAACAGAGGAAAGAAAAGTGTTTTTTTCACACGTACCACCAGCAGGTCCTTCACGGTTTCGGAGAAACCCACCACATGCATGGCTACAGCCACAGCATTGGCAAAGGAGAAGAGAAGACCAATGGATCCACCAAGTTCTGGGCCCAAGCTGCGAGAGATCAGGAAGTAGGTTCCCCCTACACCCAACATAAGGAAAGTGAAGTCAGTTCTATTTTCCCTATCACCTGACCAGCCCTATCTGTGGAAAAAGTCACTTATTTTAAAGTATTTTAAAATAAGAAGTAGAAGGCTTTGCACACTGGAGAAGCAGCATATAAAAACTTTAATGCAAGCAACATTTTTGTTGAATATTAACAAGGCTAAAATATATGAAGAATGGTTGCAGGAATTGGGTACGTCTACTCTAGTGGAAAGAAGGATAGGGATGACATGATAGCAGTATTCCAATATTTCAGGGGCTGCCACAAGGAAGAGGCATCAGCCGATTCTCCAAAGCACCTGAGGGCAGGACAAGAAGCAACAGATGGAAACTAATCAAGGAGAGAAGCAACCTAGAACTAAGGAGAAATTTCCTCATAGTTAGAACAATTAATCAGTGGAACAACTTGGCTCCAGAAATTGTAAATGCTCCAACACTGGAAGTTTTTAAAAAGAGTTTAGACAGCCCCTTGTGTGGAATGGTACAGGGTCTCCTGTTTGAGCAGGGGGTTGGACTAGAAGACCTCCAAGGTCCCTTCCAACTTTGTTATTCTGTTATTTATTGTGGGCAGTTGCTAGATGTTCAGTGTGTGCAATCTTGGCAATTCTTACAACACTTCTATAAAACCAGTCTGTATTATTGTGATGCCTTAATCTGGAGATGATAGCAACCAGACTCTGGCAAACTGGTTTTCGAAAGGCTGCCTGGTAAATTCATAAATGAAGTGAAACTCTTCCAGTTTCTAGAAAGAGTCTGTATAGCTGTGAATGTGTGAGCTGCAGAAGGCAAATTGAACTGGGGCTACAACAGACAGTGGACGTTCACCTTTGCTTCAGACCTAAACTGGAAGAGAGACAGGAGGAAGGATCCTACTATCCCAGAGAAAACTACATCAGCCAAAGCATCAGAAAGCAAGACAAAACACAATGGACAGAAACTAAACAAGGAGGGAACCAACCTAGAACTAAGAAGAAATTTCCTAACAGAGAGAACAATGAATCAGTGGAACGGTTTGCCTTCAGAAATTGTGGTGCTCCATCACTGGAGGCTTTTAAGAAGAAAATGGACAGACATTTTTTTTGAAATGGTATAGCTGCTGGAACAGGGAGTTGGGTTAGAACAGTGTTTCTCAACCTTGGCAACTTGAAGATGAGTGGACTTCAACTCCCAGAATTCCCCAGCCAGCTATGCTATGCTGGCTGGGGAATTCTGGGAGTTGAAGTCCACTCATCTTCAAGTTGCCAAGGTTGAGAAACACTGGGTTAGAAGATCTCCAACTCCAACTCTTATTCTGTCTGTCTGTTTGTTTGATCCTCACCTCCCAGAGTATCATGCTGGATTTTATTCTTAAATAACATGTCCTTTTCTTAAATTCACATTTTATGAGGCTTTCCCTCTTGGCTGCACTGTAAAACTCAGCAGGGCTTGGATAGCCCTTGAAAAGGGACACTTCCAGAGTCTGGAAGCTAGATTGGAAAGTCTAACAAGCATGCAGGAAGAGCTCAAGGCCAAACCAAGGGAATATTTTCCCAAAGTGAAATCCAGCTACGTAGGAAGATCTGGCAGGCTCTAGCTGATTTTGAACAACTAAGCAGGGTTGGGTATGATTAGTACCTGGATGGTAAAATTGATCTACCCTAGGGCCATTGTCTAGACTGGTAAATCTGTTTCACCAGCAGGTTGGGAGAAAAATCTGTTTCACTGGTAGGTTGAAAAACATTTCAGAGGAAGACAGTGCCTAACCCCAGCCCCTATCTACATGCCTATGAAGCAGCACTTAAAAGAGATATCAGCTACCTTGTCATTGATGCTGCCCAGGGATAACAGATAACAGATTAACAGAGTTGGAAGGGACGTTATAGGTTATCTAGTCCAACCCCCTTCCCCCCCCCATTCAAGCAGGAGACCCTATACCCGTGATGGCGAACCTATGGCACGCGTGCCACAGGTGGCACACGGAGCCATTTCTGTGGGCATGCGAGCTGTCGCTGTAGATCAGCTCTATTGTGCATGCGTGCGCGCACCTCCCATCAGCCAGTTGATTTTTGGGTCTCTGCCGCGCATGTGGGAGATGCACGTCCATGCCCATGTCACCCCGCCCCTCCCAGGAATCTCCACGTAGCCTGTTTTGGATGCCAGGTAATTACAGGGCTTGCTCGGAGGCTCTGAGAGGGTGAAAAAAAGCCTACCGGAAGTCTGGAAACAAGCTGTTTCCAGCCTCCAGAGGCTTCAGGGAAGCATGCTAGGCCCAAAATGGGGTGTGGGGGGTCACGCACGCATGCATGGGGTGGGGTGGGGCAGCGTGGGGGTGTTGCACATGCCTGCACAGGGGGGCATGGCGTGCATGGGGGCATTGGATTATGGTGTGGGCACATGCCCACGTGCTATCTCGCACACACATGCACTTTTGGCCCCCGAAGAAAAAAAGGTTAGCCATCACTGCCCTATACCATTTCTGACAAATGGCAGTCCAATCTTTTCTTGAAAATCTCAAGTGACGAAACTCTCACAACTTCCGAAGGCAACTTCTGTTCCATTGGTTGATTGTTCTCACCGTCAGAAAGTTCCTCCTCATTTCTAGGTTGAATCTCTCCTTGGTCAGTTTCCATCCATTATTCCTTGTCTGGCCCCCGGGTGCTTTGGAGAACAGCTTGACCCCTTCCTCTCTATGGCAGCCCCTCAAATATTGAAACATTGTTATCATGTCTCTCCTGGTCCTTCTCTTCACTAGATCCTGTAACTGTTCTTCATATGTTTTAGTCTCCAGTCCACTAATCATCCTGGTTGCTCTCCTCTGCACTTTTTCTAGAGTCTCAACAACCTTTTTATAATGTGGTGGTGATATAAGGAAAGTGAAACAAATCAATGCTATGGGCTGGAAAAAAAAATAGCATGGAAGAAAATGGGGATGAGGGACCAGAATTGGACCTTGATAAGTTTCCATCCATTATTTCTTCCCCTGCTCACAGTGCATGAATAAATACCCATGGTGCTGAGCCTTGGCCCCTTTCCATCATATCTCATGGGCTCTTCAAACCTTCTTCCTACCACCATGTTCAGCCACCTTCCTTCCAAATGCAAAGAAATACCACCCAGCCATCCTTCCTCCTCAATCTTGATAGTTTCTTTATCTGATGTCTATTCAGCTTCCACCTGCTTTTTCCTGCACCAACATCTTTATAAGTCACTCAGGGAGCCCTACAGTAAAGACGAGCATGGCTCTTATGGAAGACTCATTTTAGAAAGGTGAAGAAGTGTTGAGGGAAGACATTGAAGCATGAAGTGGCCAGAAGAAAGCACGGGTTGTAACCCACATCTTAATTTGATCTGAATTCTTTGGAATGTCCTCCTCTAGAGCAATGACATTGAGAGGTACAAAGACTGGGCAAGGAAATGTTCTCTAGACTTAGATGTCTAGTCCTCAGCCAGCTGGCTGGGGAATTCAGGGAGTTGAAGTCCGTAAGTCTAAAAGTTGCCAAGTTTGGAGACTTCCGGTCTAAGTCAATTGCTCCCACAATATACTCTGAATTCTGTTTGACCGGAAAATGGGCAACTATGGTGATTTTAGGACCTGGGAATTCTGGGAGTTGAAGTCCACAGGTCCTAAAGTTGCCTTAATTGTCCACCCCTGCAGTAGACTTATGCCAGCTGTGCTGAAGATGGAAAGTTTAAGTACCTTTAAAACTATGTTAAAAAACTAAAACTATGTTAAAAAGTTTAACTATGTTTAACTATGTTAAACTGCCTGGATGTTCCTTTTTTTACCAGCTCCCCTGAACTCTGTTCAGGGCCCCTTGAATTGGCTTCTTGGACTCTGACCAGGTTTGTACTTTGACTTTTTTCCCTTTTTATGCCTCCTGACCTGGAACTCTGATTACTTGGTATATATACTGTTTGTAAGGATGGCTTTACCTGAACTGCAGAAACCTGAATGACCATTAGAGGGCAGCAAAGAGATACACAGACGGACAGACAGACAAAGTATACTGGGCCAGTAGCTGAGCCAGAAAAGGGTTTGTAAAATTGTAAAAGATGGTTTACCTGCTTTGACTTTGCCGTTGGTGGAAATTGCAGAGATGGAAAGACCAGTAATACTGGTCACCACAGAGGACATGAGAATGATCAACCAGGTTAACCCTGAAAGAACAAGGAACATAGTCTGGTATTTTTGGAAGTATGGCTGTCTAACATCCATGGCCTAATGTAGATATTTAATAAAGAGGTGATGAACCGTATTATGTTCTTTTTAATACAGGTAGTGCTAATTTAAGGACTTCCCTGTTTAACAATCGTTCAAAGCTATGATGAAGTTGAAAAAGTGACATTACGACCAGTCCTCACATTTATGTCCGTTGCAACGTTCCCGTGCTCACGAGATTGTCATTTGTGGGTGTCACAATCCTGGCATGTAGTGTCAGAGGAGAAGTCAGTGGTACAATTGCAATCACATGATGTCTGCTTAACAACCTGCCTGACTCATTTAATAACTGTGGAGGAAATGAGGTCATAAGTTCATAATTGTTGCATGATGTCTCCCTTAATGACAGTGTTGCTTAGCAACGGAGTTGCAGGCCCCAACTTTGGTTGTTAAGCAAGGATTATCTGTACCAGATTAAGATTTAGGAGCTTTCTGTCCAATCTTGTAATTATTAAACTGTAATTATTCAGCTAAGATTACTTATATTACATTATTACTGCCTTGCTTTCTCCTAATTTGAATGCAGCTTGATTAGCCTTTTAAAAAAAATAATTTTAAAAAATTAAAAAATTTAATTTAAAAAAATTAAACAATTTGTCCTTCTATTCTGAAGAGATATTTTCTGTGGACAAAACGCATTTGAAGGTACAAAAATATCAAGCAACATTAAAATATATGTTTTTTCCTCCTTGCATGTATAGGTAACTCTCGACTTATGACAACAATTGACCCCAAAACTATTGTTGCTAAATGAGACAGTTATTAAGTGAGTTTCGGTCATTATACAACCTTTCTTGCCACAGTTAATTAAGTGAATCACTGCAGTTGTTAAATTAGTAACACGGTTGCTAAGTGAATCTGGCTTCCCATAGACTTTGCGTCTCAGAAGGACGCAAAAGGGGATCACTTGACCCCAGGACACTGCAACCGTCATAAATATGAGTCAGTTGCCAAGTGCTGGAATTTTGATCACCCAAGCATAGGGATGCTGTGAAGGTCATAAGTGTGAAAAACGGTCATAAGTCACTTTTTCAGTGCCATTGTGAGTTCGAACGGTCACTAAACAAATGGTTGTAAGTCAAGGAGTATCTGTACATGATATAAAAGTAGTTACAAACTCATATGAAGACTGACTATATATGATTTAGGAACCTGTTTTGCAGTAGGGAGAAGGTGAAATCAAGAAAACAGTCCCTCTCAAAGGTGCTTTTTTCAAGAAGCAGCTGAACTTTCTGGTTTTTCTTTGAAGACGGTTTTGCTTCTCATCCAAGAAGCTTCCTCAGCTCTGATTGGATAGTGGGGAACATGACTCATTTAATAGTCAAGAGTTGAAGAAGCCTCTTGGATGAGAAGCAAAATGTCTTCAAAGAAAAACCAGAAAGTCCAGTTGCCTCTTGAAAAAACACCTTTGGGACAAATATGACCTGGATGACGGAGAATCTCCATAAAAATAGCCCCTCATTAATTCCACGAAGTTTCTTACCTATGCCAGCCTGGGCCGTTATCCAGGGCAAACGGAGATAAAGGATCACACCCCAAATATTGAGCATGCACCGGATCTTCAGAGGAAAAAAGACATGTGTGAAAATCTTAGAGTGTTCACAAAGTATCATTATTTTATTATTATTTGCATTTTTATCCTGACTTTATTAGTTTTATAAACCACTCAAGACAATGAAGATGCATCTAATCCTCCTCTTATTTTCCCCACAAAAACAGGTTGGGCTGACACAGAGAGTGATTAGCTCAAAATCACCCAGCCAGTTTTCATTCCTAAAGCAGGACTAGAACTCACAGTCTCCTGATTTCTAGGCTGACACTGTAACCACTAGACCAAACTGGCTGTCATTGGCACATACTTTTACTTAAAATTGTTAAAGGTAAAGGTTCCCCTCGCAGATAGGTGCTAGTCATTCCCGACTCTAGGGGGCGGTGCTCATCTCTATTTCAAAGCCAAAGAGCCAGCGCTGTCCGAAGACGTCTCCATGGTCATGGAGACTATGGTGACTAAACACCAAAGGCGCACAGAACACTGTTACCTCCCCACCAAAGGTGGTCCCTATTTTTCTACTTGCATTTTTTACGTGCTTTCGAACTGCTAGGTTGGCAGAAGCTGGGACAAGTAACAGGAGCTCATCCCAGTTACGCGGCACTTAGAGATTTGAACCACTGAACTGCCGACCTTTCAATTGACAAGCTCAGCGTGTTAGCCACTGAGCCACCGCATCCCTTAAAATTTTTTAAAAAGTTTAAAAATTTTAAAAATTGTTAAGAAACCACTAAATTAAGGATCCAATGCAGTCAGTGGCAGTCTCAGGCTTTGTTTCTTTTCAATTATGGTTCCTACTTTTGGGACTATTAGGATCCCAAACCAGTGGTGAAAATCCAAATTTTTTTACTACCGGTTCTGTGGGCGTGGCAGGGGAAGGATACTGCAAAATCTTCATTCTCTCCCCAGTCCTGGGGGAAGGATACTGCAAAATCTCCATTCCCACCCCACTCTGGGACTAACCAGAGGTGGTATTTTCTGGTTCTCCGAACTGCTCAAAATTTCCGCTACCGGTTCTCCAGAACCTGCTGGATTTCACCCCTGTCCCAAACCCTCCTGGGTCAAATGAATTCACGCATTGCATTGTGAAGTTTACCATAACTCCCGTCACCCAGCCAAATCGAACGGGCTCAGCTTCCGGTTCGGGGTCTTCCACGTCCTTTTCCTCCCCATCCTTAGAACCAGATTCTAAATTGGGGTCAGCACAGTCTGGGCCCCCAGGATATGCTTGCCTTTTCCCCTATTTAAACAAAAACAAAGAAGAAAAAGAAGCTGAAATTAGATCCCATGTGAATCTCCTTACAGTTCTATGTCTTTATACATTTTTATAGCTGCTGTCCTCTCTGGTGCTCTCCAAATGCACTGGGGTTTTCCTCCATCTTTTCCCCCAAAATATGACTTTGTGGAAAAAGACTGGTGCTCTTTTTGTGACCCCGGAGATTCCACACACTGTGTTAAAATCATGATTTATTTCAATCATGCAGAACAAAATAATTGGGCTCCTATACTGTATAGAAAATAAGGGGTGACATGATAGAAGCGTTCCAATATCTCAGGGGTTGCCACAAAGAAGAGGGAGTCAAAGTATTCTCCAAAGCACCTGAAGGCAGGACAAGAAGCAATGGGTGGAAACTAATCAAGGAGAGAAGCAATTTAGAACTAAGGAGAAATTTCCTGACAGTTAGAACAATGAATCAGTGGAACAACTTGCCTCCAGAAGTTGTAAAAGCTCCAACAATGGAAGTTTTAAAAAAGATATTAGATAACCATTTGTCTGACGTGGTGTAGGGTTTCCTGCCTAAGCAGGGGGTTGGACTAGAAGACCTCCAAGGTCCCTTCCAACTCTGTTATTCTATTCTATTCTATTCTATTCTATTCTATTCTATTCTATTCTACTCTATTGATTCAAGTTGGGGTTCGCTCGTCTGTGATTTAAATTTTTAAAAATCAGCCTAGCCTGCATGGCTTATAAAGCCACGGAGAATATGGCTTAGCATGTAGGGAGCAGCTAGCAAATTTTTATTCTGCATTCCACAATTTAGTGGACTGTATAAAAAAAATAATCCTGTTCACCTTTGATCAGAGGCCAAAATTGGTACTTTGAAAGCCACAATGATTTGCTTTACACTTTGCACAAAGTCATGGTTATTCTAAACACCAATTTATTAAAGAAAATGCAACTGGCGGAGATCCCGCAACAAATTAAGCTCTAATTAAGCATGAGTTATAAACCATGATGTTAGGATTCAGGCAGCTTGCTAAGTGTAAATCAATAAACCATGTTAAGGTTTAAGTCAATGGGTGAGCCAGTTTGAAATAGTAACAGAATAACAGAGTTGGAAGGGACCTTGGAGGTCTTCTAGTCCAGGGATGGGCAAATGTGGCTCTTTTACAACCTGTGGACTTCAACTCCCAGAATTCCTGGTTCAGGAATTCTGGGAGTTGAAGTCCACAGGTTGTAAAAGAGCCACATTTGCCCAACCCTGTTCTAGTCCAACGCCCTGCTCAAGCAGAAGACCGTTCCAGACAAGGGGTTGTCCAATCTCTTCTTAATTTGGCAATTTTCTTAATAATTTGGCAATTTTCTTAATAATTTGGCAATTTTCTTAATAATTTGGCAATTTTAAGCCAGTTTGTAACTTAACATTTCATGTGAGCCCAGTCAACTGCGGTTTATTAAACCACAATGCAAGAGATCACAGTTAGGTGCGATATGTTAAAAGTATCCCTAGACCATGCTGTCGTGGTGAAGAAACCAACTTATTCTCCCTGATCATCATGGAACAGGGCCCTCTTACCGGTTCTGCATTCCTCAACATGTCCAAAGTGGGTCGGATCTTCCGACGTCCAGGTGGTGCGGAGAGCGCATAAAACTCATAGCGGGGACAAGCATCAATTGAAGTCTCGTAATCGGGGGGAGCTGAAAGAGACCCGTTTTCTTCTGCTTGCGTGGAAGAAGGAAGATCCGATTTAGGAGTGTGGTTGGCTTGCTCCGAACAGGGGCCATTTTGTAATTTTCGAACTTTGAAACGTCCAAAAGAAAGGACAGTCTTATAGGATGAGGAATCTTCTTCCATGGCCTTCTTAGAATTGTTTCCACCTGCTGGGAAGAGAAAGAACAAATGCTTATTGATTTCAATCTATTTTGATTATATTCTTCAAGGCTGCCTACCCTATTTTAATTTTATCCCCACTTTAACAAGCCAGGGCAGAGATTTATGATTTGCCCTATCCTGGTTGAATGTCTATGGAGATTCTCAGTCATCCAGGTCATGTTTGTCCCAAAGTTGCTTTTCAAGAGGCAACTGGACTTTCTTGGGTTTTTTTTAAGATGTTTTGCTTCTCATCTAAGAAGCTTCTTCAGCTCGGTTTTCAGAGCAGAAGAAGCTTCTCAGATGAGAAGTGAAACGTCTTCAAGGAAAAACAAGAAAGTCCAATTGCTTCTTGAAAAGCATCTTTGAGACCCCATCCTGGTCCATCTCCTTCAAGCCAGCACTTTAACCATCTCTCTCACTGAGCTAAGGAGCCACAACTCCTTAAGTTTAGTCCTGGTTGAACAGTTCCTGGGCCCAGAAATGTATTCACATGATAATCCTTCATCCCCAAATTTTAAACCACACAAAATGGCCCCGAACATTTAGAACATTTATCTTCATAGACATCCTTGTGCACACATAATATGTTTCTGAGCAAGACAAAAGGCTCCTGGCAGTAACTATGCAGACTTTTCTTATTATAAGTCACCTACCCAATAACTGAACTTCTCTGGCAAATTAACCATGTGATTTAAAATACTGCAAAAAATTAGAATTTAGAATTAAAATAATTTATTCCATAACATAAAACAGATTAAAAGCCATTTTTACAACACTCTTGTGATTTAGAATTTGATATCTTGGATAAAGAGATGTATAAAATAAGAACAAACCCACAGAATATTTACAAGTATATTTGGTTCTGTTAGTCCTGGGAAAGGAAAAGTTATATATTCTTTCTGTTTATCTGATCCTGAAAAGCAGAAATGTGTGTTTTCAGATCAAAAGCTGAAGAGTTCCATTCCAAAACACCCAGTTCAAAGTAACACCAAAATGATTTAAGTTTTCAAGATTGTTTTTCCGAGTTTAGTTGAACTATATTCATCACAAAGCTTTCTCTACTTTCCTCTTCATTTTTACAGCTGAAAACTAAGATATCACAACTACTGACTTTAAACTCAAGTCTTGTTTCCATATAGCCTTGAAATACATATCATGTTTTCTAATCCATTAAATAAAGACAGAGTGGTAATAGATGACCATCCATAATCAATCAAGTTTTAGCTAGGTCATTGACCTGCATAAAATACTATTACAGGATGGCACAATCCTGTAATCTCTACACAAATGTAGAGCACAATCTCTACACAAACAACCTAGACAATGTGCAGTGGAAAATAAATTTTAAGATTACTGCCACAACTATAAAACAACCTCACAAATATAAAATCGTTAAGACAACAGTGCAGTATAGTACAGTTTAAAATAATGTGATATAATATTAATATAAATTATAAAAACCTACGGAAAAAATAGCAAAACATCAGAAATATTAGCCAAAGAGTATACAAATATTGTATTGCTAAAATCTCCTGCTAAAAATGTAATAGGTACTGATATTAACACTATATAAGATATGATGAAACGGCAGTAGAAAACGGCAGTATGCACTTTATAAGAAATAAAATGGTCATGTTAAACAATTAGAAATACAACCAATTACACAATAAAGTCATTACAGAATTAAAAGCACGGTCTTCATGTATGTCTTTCCAAGGACATAATGAAAGTACCGTATTTTTCAATTTAGCTATCAAATTTCCATCTTGTGAACTTTTCTAGGAGAAAGAAAAGAGGTGCACTATCTAGGTCGAGTCAATTCATTTTAGTTCAGGAAGGAACTACAGCAGTTTCCCCTATAAGACCACATACAAATACATCAAATCAGAGGTAAATCCCATTGAATTCAATGGATTTTCTTCCAGGAAAAAAAAAAGCTGGGGAAAAAAAACCCTCCTCCAATGTTCAAAACATTTGATTTAAGTCTGTTCCCGTTATTTAACTGTATTAGTCCATGGGGAATATACCTCATCAGAAAAAGATGAAATTAATCCATTCAGGTTAACTAAAGAACAACTAAGAATTTTGTGGCACTTTAAGGATGAATCTGATTTGTTGTGGTAGAACTAAGACCTTAAGAGTCACACTATAATAAATTAACAAGTTCTTTAAGAGCCACAAGGTTGGTTTTGGTCTACTTTAGGCTGCAAGAGTAGTACAATTGTTCTCTTATTTAAGAATCAAAACTCCCATTTAAGGGGGCAATACAATTTCCTAATAATTAAATATATTTATTTATTAAATATAAAATTAATTATATTTATATATTTAATATATTTATAAAATATATTTTAATATATTTTACATATTAAAATATATTTATTATTAGGATAATTATACCAACCTTGGTCTCATCCAGCAGTATTTTTTTTCTTCCAAAAGACTACACTGGAACAAGATACAGGAATTATTTTCCTTCGGGATTAAGTTAATTATATATACTATGAGAGAGAGAGAGAGAGAGACAGACAGACACAGCAAAAGTCTATTTTCTCACATTTTGTATCTGAGTATTTCCAAGAACTGCCCTGAAAATAGATACCTGAAAGTTTTACAATTCGTTTCCCTACAGGTACGAAATTTGGCTTTCACTCCTCACAGTCAAAATGGAAAGAACCACTCCAGCCTAGAATTGATGAATTGCGCTGAATTGTTTAAAACTGATGATCAAGAGGAATAAAGGCAGAAAGCATGAGATAGCAGGGAGCAGGCAAAGAACAGCCCAACTGCAGAGACCCAGGAACCAGGAATGAGAGCAGAAAGAAGCCCCAGAAACCAGAAGATGAGATGGAGGCTCAAGTCTCTAGCTTCATCCCCTGCCTTTCTGTACCTGCTCCTTCAGCCGTCTCCACGGGCAGCCCTTGATATCTTATCTCCACACCAGCAACAGGTTGACCTGCTATCTCTCCTGACTTATAAAGGCTCCTGATAAAGGCAGGTCCAGCTCTTCTAAACTGGACCCAACAGCTCCTGGCTGCCTTGATCCCTCCTATCCATCATCCACACCTCCACCCACCCCCCCTCTCCAAATAGACAAACTTTCCAAATGCAAGAAGGAGGGGGGACCGGGGTGGGGGGGGAAGGTTAGGGGTGGAATTGAAAGGACATCCTCCCCCTTTCTTGCACATAACATAAGAAGTTAAGGGCCCTGTTTGCTCGCCTTATCTCCTGCCCCTGCAGCGTTCTTTCCACTAGCCCATTTGTACAAGGCAATGGAAACTTAGAAAGACAATGGAAGGCTGAAGGAAACCTGGAGCCTGGGGGATCTGTCTGGCTGGGTGTGTGGCTGGCCCATGGGCAGAGGATGGACACCAGGGCGAAGACCAGCAGGATACAAGAATGCAGGCTTCAGACTGAGCCTTGCAGGCAAGCTTAACAGAGGTCTTCTAGTCCAACCCACTACTCAAGCAGCAAACCCTTGCATTTGAGACAAATGGCTGTCCAGTATCTTTTTAAAAGCCTCCAGTGATGGAGCACCCAGTTTCTGGAGGCAGGCTGTTCCACTGGTTAATTGTCCTCATTGTTAGGAAGTTTCTCCTTAATTCCAGGTTTGCTTCTCTCCTCGATTAGTTTCCATCCATTGTTTCTTGTCTCGCATTCTGGTGCTTTGAAAAATAAGTTGACCCCCCCCTCCTCTTTGTGGGAGCCCCTCAAATACTGGAATACGGCTATCATGTCCCTCCTAGTCCTTCTTTTCTCTAGACTAGCTAAACCCAAATCCTGCAACCGTTCTTCATATGTTTTAGTCTCCAGGCCTTTAATCTTCTTAGTTGCTCTTCTTTGCACTTTTTCCAAAGTCTTAACATCTCATGAACTTTGGGATAGGATAGATGATGTACTTTGGAGCAAGCACTACTCAAGCAGGAGACCCTTGCATTTCAGACATGGCTGCCCGGTCTCTTTTTAATGATGGAACTTCTGGAGACAAACCATTTCACTGGTTAATAGTTCTCACTGTCAGGAAATTTCTCCTTAGTTCTAGGTTGCTCCTCTCCTTAATTAGTTTCCAGCCATTCTTTCCTTCCGGTGCTTTGGAAAATAGGCTGAGCCCCCCTTCTTCTTCTTTGTTGCAGCCCCTCAAATATTGGAACACTGCTATCATGTCCACCCCTAGTTCTTTTCACTACACTAGACATACCCGATTTCTGTAACTCGTATGTTTTAGCCTTCACCCACTAATCATCTTTGTTGCTCTTCTCTGCACTCTTTCCAGAGTCCCAATATATATATTTTTTAATATTGTGCTTTAGGGTAAGCCCTGCTTCTGAACATTGCAAGCTCAGAGACTTGAATCATCTGTTAAAGCATGGAGTAGAAAAGAACAACAAGACTAGGGTTTTGCTTAATTGATTTATGTTCCAGCTTTGGATCCAAGTAGGACAATCTAGATGGCTTCCACAAGGCACAAAGAACATGAGAGAAAGACCTGAATGTCCTGAAGTATTATTAAAAAGAAAGACAGCGACCCCCAACTAAGGCATTCTTTCAAATAAATAAATAAAACAAGGTGCATGATGGAACAGAGACTTTGAAGTTAATTCAGGAAACTAAAGTGAAGATTGCACATCAACATGCACAGACGTGTTTGCCCTGATCTTACAAAAGTGTTTCTCAACTCATTGTACACAAACCACAGCTGGATATATAGGCAGCTCAGCTGGGACAGTAAATCCTTGAAACCATAGCTTTTTCAAAGTCGCCCCAATTGATAAACGCAATAACACGACACTTATAGAAATAAACATACAGAACTAATGTTAAGTGAAATATTGGTTAAGTGAATTTTATGACCTTTCTCGCCACAGTCGTTAAACGAATCACTGGCGTGGATAAGTTAGTCACCCGGTTGTTAAGTGAATCTGGCTTCCCCATTGACTTTGCTTGTGGGAAGGTCGCAAAAGGGGATCCCGTGACCTTGGGACACAGCAACGGCCATAAATATGAACCA